GGCCCAGGTCCAGCCCAGTCCCATTTCACAGAGCACACTGACCCGACAGGCCTTGGCTGGTCTATGAGCCATCTCAAAAGCACAACACACAGCACGGCACACACTAAGGCCCTGTCCTCCATCCACCACCTTCCCTCCCCCCACCCTCCCCTCCGCTCACCAATCCCAGGGTCCAGCCCCATTTCGCAGAGCACCGTGACCCCGCTGGCCTTGGCTGGCTCGTCCAGCTGCGCCATCTGTGAGCTCACGTACGATGCCGTCACCAGGTGCTTGCTCGCCTGGGTGGGAAGGGGAGGGAAAAAGGGAGAAGAAGAGCATGGAACGACATGACATGAGCATGGAACAACATGAGGTCTATCTAGCTTTCGCTGAAAAGGGTAAGGGGAGCGAGGCTGGGAGGGTGAAGGGAGATTTGAGAGAGAGGAGAGCAAGGGGCAGAAACAGGAGGCGACAGGGGTGTGAAGGGAGGATCGAAAAATCGGAAGCAGGGTCGGAGTAGGGAAGGAGAGGAAATGCTAATGCGAGTGCGAGTGCGAGTGAAAGAGCGTAAATACCTTGACGCAAGCATTGGCGACAGTGATGTGGCATGCAGGCGGCTTTTGAGTTGACTCAAAAGTAACGAGTGCAAGAGCGAAGGAGCAAGAGCGTACACACCTTGACGCAAGCATTGGCGACAGTGATGTGGCATGCAGGCGGCAGCATGCTGATGACCACATCGGCCTGAGGGGAGGAAAAGGAGGGGAGGAAAAGGACACGTGTCACGCACGCACGCAGGCAAACAAAACAAGAACAAGGTGACTTTCGCGTCGTCGACTCAAGTGCCACAAAGAACAAAACACAGGAGAAGAAGCGGAGCACTCTTGATGCTCTCTGCTCAGAAGAAGAAGAAGCAGAGCACCGGTAAAAGAGGCTGACAGACGGAAGAGATGGTAAAACACGTCCCTTCCTTCCCCCTCTCTCCCCCCTCTCACAAGAAGCCCGGTAAAACAGGCCAACAGACGGAAGAGATGGCCAACAGGGGAAGCAGCAGATCGTGAAGCACTGAACACTAAAGCAGTTGGCATTGGTTGAGTGGTGGTGGTGGTGAGCACTGAACACACATGATGGCAGGCAGGCAGTGCCTTGTTCTCCCCCACTCAACCAGTGCCGCTTGCTTGCTCTCACATGCTCTCATGATGGCAGAACGTTGGGTAATGATGGCTCCAAGCTCTCACCTGTGCAACAGCAGCGTCAAGCTTGGCAGTGTCGCTGATATCCAGCTCCATGGGGTGCGTGTGCTCGAAGCCCTCCACTGCCTGGTGGTGTGCGGTGAGGTGCGGTGAGGTAGGGTGGGATATGTTGAAGTACAGTGAGTGAGGGATTGTGAGGTATGGGGAGGGGCTGTGATTGGACTCTGCAGCATGGAGTGTGTCTGCCCAAACTCCTACGTGCATGCGTAAATACTATGCATACATGCACACATACATGCATGCGTGCACACACACACGAACGAGTGCATGTCAACAGATCGGGACCCCTTCACCCTGCCCTTCCCTTGCACTGCCCTCATCTTCACAACCACCGCTCACCTTCACAGCCTCTTCCAGGAACATAGACGCCACAGTCACATGCATGCATGCACACACGCAGAGACATACATGCACGAACACGCCCCCACACACCCACACATACATGCATCCAGACATCCTCACCTTCACAGCCTCTTCCAGGAACATAGACGCCACAGTCACATGCAGAGCCTCATGCCTCTTCTCCCCCTCGCCCACCTCCTCCTCCCCCCACCACCTCTCCCCATCGCCAAACCGCACCAGCGTATCTATCACAGGCACCACCATCCTCCCCGCACCCAGCACCAGCACCCTCCACTTATACTCCACCTCCTTCCCCTCCTCCACCCCCACCCCCAAACCCACTCCCTCATCCACATTCCCGTTCTCCCCACCCGTTGTAGCACCCGCATCAGCACCAGCAGCAGTAGCAGCAGCAGCAGCAGCAGCAGCAGCAGCATCGGCAGCGGCTTGAGTCTCCTTGTCAAGAGCAGCGGCAGCAGCAGCTTTCATAGCAGCGAGCGCGTCAGCGGAAACGGCGCGGGGGCTATTGGTGTGCGAGTCAAGGGGGTTCTCGGGCACCTCCGCCTTCTGCGCTATCTCTGCAAGTGCGTTCACTATCCCTGCTAGCTGCTCCTCCGATGTGGCAGACACCTGGGGGATATTCGGGGGAAAGGGGTGGAAAGAGGCAGCGTGAGCTGTTGGTGTGCGAGTCGAGGGGGTTCTCCGGCACGTGTCCCTCCGCCTTCTGCGCTATCTCTGCAAGTGCGTTCACTATCCCTGCTAGCTGCTCTTCCGATGTGGCCGACACCTGGAGGGTAGATTAGAAGGGAGGGAGGGAGCAGCAGCAGCAGCAGAAGGGAGGGAGGGGGCAGAAGCAGCAGCAGCAGAAGCGGATTGGGATTCCTCCTTGGCAAGAGCAGCAGCGGCAGCGGCAGCTTTCACAGCAGCAAGGGCGTCAGCAGAGACGGCGCGGGGGCGTGCCCCTCCGCCTTCTGCGCTATCTCTGCAAGTGCGCTCACTATCCCTGCTAGCTGCTCTTCCGATGTGGCCGACACCTACGGTAGGTTTGAAAAGTGGAGGAGAAAGGTGTGGGGAGGTGAGGGGGAGGTGTGTGGGTCACGCACGATCATGTCGACAGCAAGCATGTTTAGTACAGCCGAACAAGTCACACATGTTCTCTCTTCTCCCCACCCCCAAGTCCACCCTCAAACCCCTCTCCACCCACCTTTACCTGGATCTCAGCAAAAGAGCTGGACGCATGAACCTCCCTCCATCAAACTGCACTTCAACCATAGTTACCTGGATCTCAGCAAAGGAGCTGGAGTCGACGGACTGCCCCACGAGGCACGTGGCGAGCTGGAAGGTGCCGCCCGCGCGCTCTATCACGTCCAACGCATCGTTGATCAGGAACCGGTCGAACAGGTGCCCGTTCAGGGACACCTGCAGCGGTGGAGTGCGGTGAGGCGAGGTGCGGGTGCGTGGGGTGGAGTGGGGTGTGTGGTGGGATGGGTGGGGAGGAGAGGAGAAAGGGAGAGGAAAGGGAGGGAGGAGGAGGGGCGGGAAGGAGGGGAAAGGAGAGGAGGGGAGAAGGGAGGAGGAGAGGAGAGGAGAGGACGTGCAATTATAGTGACGAGCGCGCTTCCCTCTCCTGGAGAATACGAGAGAGACAGACAGCCACTCGTTGGGGATGGATGGGAATCGTTGGAAGTCGTTGGGAACTGTTGGGGATTGTTTAAAAGTGTTGCAGATTCCGACCTGCAAGGGCCTGTTTTGGTGTTGCTCTGAGACGCCCCAATCACACACGAGGGTGTAAACAAACACACAAACACGAGCTTGGAGGTGTGACGTGCAGCACCCGAGGTGGGAAAGGAGAGGTAAGAGTGATAGGAGGGAAGAGGAGTCAGAGGAGAGAGAGGAGAGCGGAGCGGGTGCGAGAAGGACGAGGAGGATGGGGAGGAGGAGATGAGAGTGAGAAAATTGGGTGCTGCAGTGGGCGTCCCTTCCCCTTTTGAAAACCTCCCATCACAAACTGTCCGTGCCTGCCTTAGTTGTTTTACAACCACGCCAAATGCTTTTGCCACCAAAAGCCAACTCCCTACTCTTGTGCCTTGAGGGCGGCAAGCAGCAGAGGAGGCACCGAAGGCAGAAAGTAGCAGGGACAGATGGAGCAGGGGAGATTCTCAGCGAGGGAAGGGGGTGATGGAGTCAGCTAGGGTGAGGCAGGCCCGTGGGTCACACGAGCCGGGGGAAGCTTCACGTGCCAGTGGTGCTGGTGCTGGTGATAGTGGTGGCAGTGCTGCTGTTGCTGCTGCGGCTGCTGCTGCTGCTGCTGCTGCTGGTGGTGGTGAGTGCGTGAGTGCAACTGAGCGTGGTGAGTATACGGGTGCAGCAGGCCAGGAGGAAGCCGTTTCAAACTCTGCAATGCCCTGCCACTGCTGCTACTACTACTGCTACTAGAGCTACCGAAGTTGCCGCAACTGCTGCAGCCAATATTGCAAGTGCAGCAACTCGTGCAACTGTTTCTGCTATGGTTGCTAGGCACGCCCTTGGCTTTGAAACGGTGCTGAAGACTCAACAGCACCAGGTGCCTGTGCCCCTGCTGCTGTTGTAGCCTCTTGCACACCAGGTGAACGCGGGTTTTGACTAGAGGCGCAGCACAGGTGGCAGCATGGTTTATCGTGGTAGCAGCAGGGATTGAAGGGTCTATAGCACAGCCTTTCTTTGGGACAAACTTGGAAGCAAGCTCGGGCTTGGGCTCAGGCTCGGGCACAGTCTCGGTCTCAGGCTCGGGATCAGGCTTGGAGACAGAGGGTTTCAAGGAGAGGGTTTGGAGGTTTGGGGGTTTGCAGCTTGGAGTTTTGAATGGGTTATTTCTAGCAGATCTCAGCATCTTGTGAAACAAGGGGTGTGACGGCAACAAGGAAATGCATGGCACAGTTCCGGAAGACAAGCAGAAAGGTTTTGGAAGGGGATTTGGAGGGGGTGGGAGGGGCAGAGGGAGCAACAGAGGGGTGAAAAGAGGAGTATTAATAAGTGCAAGAAGGACAGAAAGAAAAAGAAAGAAACAAAGAAAGAAAGAAAGAAAGAAAGAACATGTAAACAACCATGTTAGGCCGTACCGTCTGAGGTGTGTCATTGCAAGGTTTTGGTGGATTGGACTCACCAACATGTTCAGGATCAAATTCAGGTCAACACTAGGATAGTGCAGCACAACGGGAGGAGGTCACACCAGGTGAATCCTAGCAGCCCAAAAGTCAGTGCAGTGAGAGAAGGCTCAGTGGAACACGGCTCGCGCACACAGAGAGCACACAGTGAGACTGGAGGTCGAGCAAGCGGCGAGGAGAGTAAGAGGGGGCATACATACCAGAGTGGTGTACTTCTTGTCTGATGGGACTGCCTCCGCCCTGCCATCATGCACACGGCACACGGCACATGGCACACGGCACACGACACACGGCACACAGCACGCAGCACACACACAGAGATGCTGTGAGAGTTCGTTCAAACGGAGTGTGCTATTGGAGCAGCAAACGAGTACAATGAATGTGAATGTGAGGGCACGCTGGAGTAGAATCAACACTCGCCTTTGTTATTGAAGCAGGTGTCACTGGCAGCTTGAACTGATTATACTCAAAAATTCAGACACAGGTGCAACCAAATAGGTGACGACGATTCAAGAAACAAACTACTCACTGAACCTTCCTTCCAAGCAGCCCTCGGAAGCACCTCAAAAGAGACAGCTCAGCAGCAGAAGAACCATCACCACCACCACCACCACCACCACCACCACCACCACCACCACCACCACCACCACCACCACACCACCACCACCACCACCACCACCACCACCACCACCACCACCACCACCACCACCACCACCACCACCACCACCACCACCACCACCACCACCACCACCACCACCACCACCACCACCACCACCACCACCACCACCACACCACCACCACCACCACCACCACCACCACCACCACCACCACCACCACCACCACACCACCACCACCACCACCACCACCACCACCACCACCACCACCACCACCACCACCACCACCACCACCACCACCACCACCACCACCACCACCACCACCACCACCACCACCACCACCACCACCACCACCACCACCACCACCACCACCACCACCACCACCACCACCACCACCACCACCACCACCACCACCACCACCACCACCACCACCACCACCACCACCACCACCACCACCACCACCACCACCACCACCACCACCACCACCACCACCACCACCACCACCACCACCACCACCACCACCACCACCACCACCACCACCACCACCACCACCACCACCACCACCACCACCACCACCACCACCACCACCACCACCACCACCACCACCACCACCACCACCACCACCACCACCACCACCACCACCACCACCACCACCACCACCACCACCACCACCACCACCACCACCACCACCACCACCACCACCACCACACCACCACCACCACCACCACCACCACCACCACCACCACCACCACCACCACCACCACCACCACCACCACCACCACCACCACCACCACCACCACCACCACCACCACCACCACCACCACCACCACCACCACCACCACCACCACCACCACCACCACCACCACCACCACCACCACCACCACCACCACCACCACCACCACCACCACCACCACCACCACCACCACCACCACCACCACCACCACCACCACCACCACCACCACCACCACCACCACCACCACCACCACCACCACCACCACCACCACCACCACCACCACCACCACCACCACCACCACCACCACCACCACCACCACCACCACCACCACCACCACCACCACCACCACCACCACCACCACCACCACCACCACCACCACCACCACCACCACCACCACCACCACCACCACCACCACCACCACCACCACCACCACCACCACCACCACCACCACCACCACCACCACCACCACCACCACCACCACCACCACCACCACCACCACCACCACCACCACCACCACCACCACCACCACCACCACCACCACCACCACCACCACCACCACCACCACCACCACCACCACCACCACCACCACCACCACCACCACCACCACCACCACCACCACCACCACCACCACCACCACCACCACCACCACCACCACCACCACCACCACCACCACCACCACCACCACCACCACCACCACCACCACCACCACCACCACCACCACCACCACCACCACCACCACCACCACCACCACCACCAGTGCCACCGCCACCGCCACTAACCCCAACCAATAGCAAGCACTCACTCGGCCTTGCAAGCAGGAGCGATGCGGTGGTGTACTGAAAGAGCGGGCACCGTGACTTGACTAGGTGCCCCTTACCTGGCAACGCAGCAAGGAGCTCAAGGCAAGCAAGGAGCACTCACTCACAGCAAACGGCACGGCACTCACTCGGCCTTGCGCGCAGCGGCGATGCGGTGGATGTACTCAAAGAGCGGGCAGAGGGAGGGAGCTGCTGCGAGGTGCCTCTTCCATGTCAGCGCAACAAGGATTATTTTTAGGCGCCTAGAAATTTTTTAGGCGCCTTTTGAGGCGATTTTTGAGGCGCCTCAAAAAGCGCAACAAGGAGCTAAAAGAAAGGAGCACTCACTCGGCCTTGCGAGCAGCGGCGATGCGGTGGATGTACTCAAAGAGCGGGCAGAGGTGCCCCCCGTACGTGATGCATGCGCGCTGCATGGCGGCCGGAGCGTCCTCGGGCGTGCGGGAGAAGGCGAGGTGGCGCAGGAAGGGGAAGAGCGCCTGGCCGAAGTGGTTGGTGGCTTCTTTTGGGAGCTCGGAGGGAAGAATGTCGACTGCTACGAAGAAGATTCCTGGACCTTCGAGGTCATCGTGCGTGGTGTTTTTGATGGGGTCGTAGCTGGAGGGAGGAGGGAAGTAGGGGAAGAGGGGAGAAGGGGAAGAAGGGAGGAGGGAGAGTAGAGAAGGGAAGAGAGAATGGAGGTGCGGGGTGGGAGAAGGCGAGGTGGCGCAGGAAGGGGAAGAGCGCCTGGCCGAAGCGGTTGGTGGACGGCTTCCTTTGGGAAGCACCGATCGGATCCGACAGCAGAATGTCCGATTCCACTGATTTTTTAGGCGCCTCAAAAAGGGAAGCTCCGATCCGACAGCAGCACACAGCAGAATGTCCACCGCCACCAAGAAGATCCGTGGGTTTGAGGCGCCTCAAAACTAGACTTCTCACACGCGGTTAATATGTAGAATGTGTACTGCAACCAAGACGATCCCTGGCCTGGGCCTTCGAGACCGTCGTGCGTGGTGTCCTTTATGGGATCGTAGCTGGTGTAGGGGGGGAGGGGTGGGGGAGGAGGAGAGGAGGGGATGCGGGGAGGAGGGGAGGAGGGGAAAGGAAGGAGGAGAACGGAGAGGCGAAGGAGAGGAGAGGCAAGTATGGCTTGAACGACAAGGAAAGCCCCAAACAGCAGCACACATCTCACACACCGGAAGAAGGGGCGTTCGATCTCAGTGGAGTGGTTGAGGCTTTCCACGGACCCCCTCACGTCGTACGTGATGTCCGCCACTCCCACCAGCCGCACACACCACACCGCAAGGAGAACACCGCACCAAAGGCCACTCATGTGAAGCCCAAGCAGCAACGCACCGGAAGAAGGGGCGTTCGATCTCGGTGGAGTGGGTGAGGCTCTCCACGGACCCCCCCACGTCGCACGTGATGTCCGCCACTCCCACCAGCCGCATCGGCACTGCCCGCCCCTCGCTGTCCGTGGCCGTGGCGAGGGCTTTGAGCTGCTCGTTGGACAGCAGGCGGGGAAAGCGATGCTCCCAATACATGCAGTTCACTGGTGGGGGGGGGGGGGGGGTGCGGGTGGGGGAGACAGGGAGGGAACGGGTTGATAGCACTGCCCGCCCCTCACTGTCCGTGGCGGTTGCGAGGGCTTTCACCTGCTCGTTCGAGAGCAGGCGGGGAAAGCGATGCTCCCAATACATGCAGTTCACTGGTGGGGGGGGAAATGGGGGAGACGAGGGGTATGGGGGTTGGATCGAAAGCAAGGGGAGTTGTACATCGTGCATGGCGCATGGAGAAGGCATGGCAGCACGGGGCATGGCAGCACACGAGGCATGGCAGCTGGGGAGCACAGGACGTACCGATGACGGTGGCATAGGGTGCGATGGTCTCATGGAAGATGGGACGGTACTGGTCCGGATGGGCGTAGTAATGCTCCTGCGTGACCACGACATGGGATGAGATGATGAGATAGCATGGGATTGGATGGAATGGGATGGTATGTGAACAACATGGGCTAGAGATGGGAAGCTACGCGTGGGAAAGGAAAAGCATTGCAGCCAAGCTAAAAAGTCGCCTTGACTAAGTGAGTTGTGGTACTTTATCAAAGGGCTCACCTTATCAAAGGTGGGGTGCGCAGCCTTGTCGATGGGCTCAACCATGTCCTTCGCCTCCACCACACACGCAAGCAAGCCCGTCCGTCGTGCAGCATCAACCTAGCCACTCTCTCAGCCAGCTGACTTCCTCTCAAGCTCACCTTATCAAAGGTGGGGTGCGCAGCCTTGTCAATGGGCTCAACCATGTCCTTCCTTCGCCTCCACCACAAACGCACCCACAAGCTGCTACAATACAACAGCCAGCTACCCAGCTAGCTAGTTGACCAGTAGAGCCCACACGGCCAGCTGCCTCACCTTATCAAAGGTGGGGTGCGCAGCCTTGTCAATGGGCTCTACCATGTCCTTCGCCTCCACCACACACGCATAGATCACCTTCTGTGCTGGGTCCAACCCATGGCCCTGGGATGGGGGGAGAGAGAGGAATAGTGAGGGTGAGAGAGGGAGAGGAAGGGTGAGGAAGGGAGAGTATTGAGAGGAAGGGACAGCAAGTGAGAAGGGGAGAGAGCAAGGGCGAGAGTGATGGGACTAGGGAGAGGGAGAGTGGGGTTTTGGGGGAGGACAGGAGGGTTTAGGGAGAGTGTGCAGCAGGGTTCTTAAAGCCCTGCAATATGAAAAAGAAAAAGAAAGAAAGAAAGAAGGAATCACCAGTGACACGCACACGACTGGATTGCCTTCCTACACGCGCCCTGAATCCGAATCTCTAAAACCCTGAACCCTGAATCCCCCTCAACTTCCCCTTCCCCCCCACACCCACCCCTCAACTTCCCCTTCCCCCCCCACCCCCTCCCCCCTCTCCACCCCACCCAAAGGCTCCCTCCCCTCCCCCCACCCTCCTTCCTCCCCCCACACACAAGGGGAAGGGCGGCGGACTCACATGCGCGGGGGGCTTGCGCGCGAGCAGCTGCGGCAGGTCCGCAGGCTTCACAAAGTGGTGCGGCAACAGGCGGAATATCTCCTGCGCGCCCTGCGCCACTGCGCGCACAGAAGGGGGTGGAAGGGGGATGAAAGAGGAGTGGATGGGTTTTCTATGAATCACCCGACTCAAACACAGCAGGCAGAATATCTCCTGCGCGCCCTGCGCCACTGCGCGCACAGAAGGGGGTGGAAGGGGGATGGAAGAGGAGTGGATGGGTTTTCTATGAATCACCCGACTCAAACACAGCAGGCAGAATATCTCCTGCGCGCCCTGCGCCACTGCGCGCTCCAGGTGGGGATAGGCAGGAAGGGGGAAGGGGGAACGGGAAACGGACAAGAGGCAAGGCGCAAGGAGCAGGGGGCAAAGGGGGAAAGGGAAAAAGGCCCAAAGTGTTGTGCAGGAATACGACTAAGGTGGCTCAAAGGCCAGACTAAGGTGGCTCAAACACAGTAGGCGGAATCTCCTGCGCGCCTTGGAACACTGCGCGCATCGGAGGGGGAACCCAGCAGTAATGGGGACGAGGGAAGGGGAAAGGGAGCAGGGAACAGGGTACAAGGTTCAGGGTTTAAGGGCGGATAGGAAGATTTACGAGTGAAAATGCTTCCAGCGTAACACTGGGCATGTATGTGTGTATAAAAGCACAGTAATGTTTCCTAAACCCTCTGAACCCGAAACCCTGAATGCAGAATAACTTACACCGCACCTGATGTATGTGTGCTACAATCCCTTCGTCACCGTCCCCCACTCCCAACACCCCCTTCCCCTCCCTCCCACATAGCCCTTTTTCCTCCCTCCTTTCCCCTCTCCCCTTCCTCCCCCCCCCCCCCCCCCCCTTCTTTCCGCGCACCTTTCCCTTCCCTCCCCCCTCCCTGCGCGCGCACCTTTCCCCGTGCCAGTGAAGACGAACACGAGCGGCGCGAGCGCGGGCGGCACTTTGCCCCCCCCTCCCCCCCCCCCCCTTTTCCCCCATTCCCCTTCCCCTTTCCGTCGACTCCCCCCACCCGCCCCCCCCCCCTTTCCGCGCACCTTTCCCCGTGCCAGTGAAGACGAACACGAGCGGCGCGAGCGCGGGCGGCAGCCCGTGCGTGGAGATGTCGTCGCCCGCGGCGACCACGGCGGCCTTGGCGGCGGAGAGCGAGGGGTACATGTAGGCCGAGGCGATGGAGAGGAACGGCGTGTGGTGGCCCAGATTCAGGTAGCCTGGACACGAGGGGAGAGGGGGGAAAGGGGGGTTGGGGGAGAAGCAGGGGGGGGGGGGAAGGGGAAGGGGGCGGGGGAGAGGGAGAGAGGGGGGAGAGGGGAGAGAGGGGCATGGAGCGAGGGGTACATGTAGGCGGACGCGATGGAGAGGAACGGCGTGTGGTGGCCCAGATTCAGGTAGCCTGGACACGAGGGGAGAGGGGGGAAAGGGAGAAGCGGGGGAGGAGGGAGAAGGGACGGGCGTGGGAAAGACGGGGAAGAGGGTGAGGGAGCGGGAGAGACGAGAGGGGGGAAGGGAGGGCGAAAGGAAGAAGGGGGCACGAGAGGAGGCAAGCAGCGAAGAATATGGTAGGGCTTCGAGGCGCCTTGCTGCTTCACTGAAACGAAGAAGAATGCGACGTTGCTGAGAGTGAAGAAATTGCAGAAATGGAATCTGCTGTGTTTCCTTTCTTTCAAAAAGAAAAGAAAAAAGAAAGAAAAAAAACCTTCCCGTGTTCCAACAATGCGTTTCTGAAAGTGAATAACACGTGTTGGGAGTTGGAGAAACGACAAGCACACCCCTCCCTTTTCCAAAGCACCAACCAGCCTCCACCCATTCCCCGTGTCCCGCCCTCTTCAGGCTATTTCCCCCCCACTTTCCCCTCACGCCCCCACCCACCTCCCCCTCGTCCCCTCCCCACCCACCCCCTCCCCGTCCCCCTTCCCGCGCACTCCCCCCCTCTTCCCCAAACGTACGTTCCCCCAGTCCGCGCAGGCAGTCGATCATGCCCGCGCGCCCCGCGTACTCCCCGAACGCCACCACGCGCCGCCCGTCGTCGCCCACGATGAGCTCGTAGTCGTACAGCGACACGCGCTTCGCGAGGATCTGCGGGGGACGCGGGGGGAGGGGGGAGGAGGAGGGGGAGATTGCAGGGTGTGAGAGTCGGGTAAGCGCAGTTGAAGCGACAGGCGAAGAGCGCGCCACAATGATCTCGTTGTCATACGAGCTGGTTTTTGAGAATTCTCAAAAACCACAATGATCTCGTTGTCATACGAGCTGGTTTTTGAGAATTCTCAAAAACCACAATGATCTCGTTGTCATACGAGCTGGTTTTTGAGAATTCTCAAAAACCACAATGATCTCGTTGTCATACGAGCTGGTTTTTGAGAATTCTCAAAAACCACAATGATCTCGTTGTCATACGAGCTGGTTTTTGAGAATTCTCAAAAACCACAATGATCTCGTTGTCATACGAGCTGGTTTTTGAGAATTCTCAAAAACCACAATGATCTCGTTGTCATACAGCAAGACGCGCTTCGCGAGGATCTGCGCGGGACACGGGGGAAAGTGAGAGGGAACGCCGTTCGAGCGGACCCCATATAGCGCAGCGGAAACACTACTACCACTTCATTACACCACAAGAACGACAGGTGGCACACTGCTGCTACAGGTGCAACACGCGCTACATGGGCCACAGGCGCTACAGATGTGCTGCAAGTATCGCACCTCGTCGAGCAGCGGGAGGTTCTCCTCTTGTCCCTTGTGCGTGTGGGAGAAGAAGGTGTAGGAGCGGTCGGGGAGCAGCGTACCCAGCTGCGGGGAGAATGGTATAGAGTGGTCGAGAGGGGTGGAAAGGGTACAGGGGTGAGCGGGATAGAGAGGAGTAGAGAGAGAGAGGGAGAAAAAGAATGGAAAAAAAAAAAAAAAAAAAAAAAAAAAAAAAAAAAAAAAAAAAAAAAAAAAAAAAAAAAAAAAAAACACACACACACACACACACACACACAAAAACAAAAACGCACATGAGAAAAATACGGAAACGGGCAAGACGAGTGACAGGAGGAAGAGGAAGGACGGTGTTGGTAAATCAGGAATGTATGATAGCATTTGGAGTCTTCAATTAACCATCACTCGCTGGGTCAAAGCGGGTCAAACCCGCATCCCCATATCTCCGTTTCGCGTCTCCGAGAGCGTATATCGCGCAGCCGCTTACCGGCGGCTGCTTGACGCCGAGAATAAGGCCACACTCGGAGAGGTCGTCAGACATCTCGCATCCCACGTCCTCGTACTGGGAATCCGCGAACACGCGCTTGCTGCTCGGCTGCACGATGATGCGAATTGACCCGGCGGCCGCTCGCCCGCCGTGCGCCGCGCGCCCCGCGGCGGACCCGTTCGCGGAAGCGGCGAGGAGGCGCGCGCACTGCGCGGGGGTGAGCGGCGCGCGGCGCTCCCACTTGTAGCGGCCCTCGTGGAGCACGCCAATTACGCCGTTGCCGTGCATGATGGCGAAAGAGGTAATAGCGGAACTGCGTGCAACGGGGATGGAAATCGCGAGTGCTTGAAGTTGGGATGTGTCCGGTAACGAGTTGTTTCAAGCGGAAGTTGAAGGCGATACGAGTTTGAATCTAGTAGGAAGGATTAGTGAGTCGTGAAAAAAAGGTAAGGAGAGAAGAAGGGGAAGCGGAACACTGGACATAAAAACCGAGTATACTTCGGAATACAAGCGATGATTTATAGGGAACGGAGAAGCGCGTATAACGACGACTGGACGGAGAAGTCCGACTTGAGTCGAGAGAAGACGTCTCGACGGCTAGAGGGCGCTAGAAAGCCAGGCAGGAAAGTCGCCAAGAAACAGGCTCCGAACATCGATAATGAAACAGGCGCCAAGGAAACGACTTCGCAAAGTCTGGGGGTCGTTTATAGCAACTCAAAGAACATGGGGAACTTGAAGGATACGTAATTTACGATAGGTAGCGCGGTGGGAATCTCACATCGTGTCGGGTATGTAACTGATCAGTTAAGCGGTCGTTGCGCTCCTGATAAGCTCGTGACGACTAAGATTTGAATAGCGCGCTATGTCGGGACCTACTAACGGTAATACGAATTAGTAGGACGTTGCCAAAGAGGATAAAAATATTAAGATGTTCTCGTTTCGGTTTGATCCAGCGAGCAACTCTATGTGCATGACAGACCATGAGAGTGCCTTATGGTCTTCCTTTCTCGTTCCTCCAAAACCAGGTCCCTCCTGCCCCGCGAGTGCTTCTAGAAGCTCCCGATGGTCGTAATCACACCAGCGACTAGGAAACATTGGTTGTCCAAAGCGCGATTCCGCCGCCTCGAACGATTTTCTAGGCCACCACCACGTGGAACGGACTGCTGCGAGTGGGACAGAGTGCGGTGTGGCGGCACAGCACAGCACGGCAACTCAAATCAACTCATCTCATCACATGTCCCATCCGACACTACACCATCCCTACTCCACCATCTCATCTCGCTTGCCGCATCGCCCATTTCGCTTCACCATGTCGCCACGTCACCCTCCACGGCCTGGCTGGAACTACTTTCACGGCATAACCATCTATCCTGACCAGCGAAGTCGCGAAGCTTTCGCACGGGCCCGATGCTCTGCAACTGACTCACACTGAGTTACCAGACGCTCTTCGTTTCCGTTCGTGTGCTCGCAGGAAAACGAAAATCTCTAAGGTGTGCAGACTAGGTCGTGAAATTTCGCTTGCTGAAATTGCAAAGTCTTGCCTGTCCGCACGCGCCTCGGCTATCCATTTCAACAAACGACTGTATGACGTGGCGAAGCTCTGCGGCCTACTTAGAGCACGCCGTTGCTGACCAGTTCCACCAAACGCTTTCGCAGCCACGCATGGTTTATGGAGGCTGAACCGCGATGCGAATGACTCGGAGTGGTCCCGCTAAACCTGGATGCCATGTCGGCAGAACTGACAGGATAATGAATTTCCTTCGCTGGATTCTTGCGGCGCCCCTGTCAGTCAGTAACAACCGTCGATTTTTACATTGAAGCAACAGAGTCGCCGATGTTGATGACGCTGAAAAGTGCAAAACTGATTCATTTGTGCCCACATGGACTTCGCGGCTTCAGTTTAGACCTCACACTCCAGTCAGCTAGGTGGTTACTGTCAGTGGTCAGATCATTCAGGTCAGAGTGCCGCGATGGCAGCTATAGCATGGCTAAAAGTACACCAAATGGCGAAACATTCTTACGGCAACATTCGTACCCAGAAACCATGCCAACTATAATGCAAAGAAATAGATTTAACTCGTGTCACTTCTAGTATGAAATCTCTTCAAGGCAAGCCAGAGCCCTGTAGGAATAAATCTTCAACTCGCATTGTAGTTGGAGAGGGGAATCTACATCTACTACACCTCAATCTGCCAAAAGTTGCGCTAAGGGCAGCCTCACTACCACAATAATACACCACTCCTAAACACAGCGCATAGATTGCGACACAACGCTTAGATTGCAAATTATTTACAGCTTCACGGCACGTACAATAAGATACACAACAGCAATGCCATGTGGGATTCAATTTTCAGATCTGAAAAAAGCCTCAATCTCTTCTAGGGACCTGCCCTTTGTTTCTGGAACACAATACCATATGAAAGCCACCCCCACGGCAGCCACCGATCCATACAGCCACACCGTTCCTGGTTCGCAAGGCATGAGGGAACACCAGGGAGGGCAGGAGAGAAAGGTATATACTGGTAAATCATGAACACATAAGGAAGTGTGGGAAGTGGCGATACAGAGGGGGGGCGGGCCAAACCACCTGAACCAAACCAGACACGATGAAATAAAGCAATGAAAATAAGATGAAGAAAAAAACACCAGTAAGCAATCACCGGGAAACCATCTAAGATCATCAACCTTAATACAACCATAGGACTGCACCATACACCGTCCCATTGACTTTTGAGTCGACTCAAAATGACTTTTGAGGTGACTTTTGAGTCAACTCAGAAGTCACTTGGAAACCATCTAAAATCATCGACCTTAATACAACCATAGGACTGCACCATACACCGCACCATTGCCGACGTGCGATCCATCCATGGACTCACCATAGGAGCTCCATGCAAAGAGAGAGGCAAAGGTTTGTGTGATGAGAAAGCAGAGAGACCAGTTGCAGAGCACCACTAGGCTGCCTGCCAGCGATCGCATGTGCGCTGGAATGATCTGCAGGGTAGAGCGGGAGAGGGGCGTGGTGAGAGGGGTGTGGCGAGAGGTGCAGGGTTAGGTTTGAGGCACGTGGACACCAGAGCACCACCAGGCTGCCTGCCAGTGAACGCATGTGCGCTGGAATGATCTGCAGGGTAGAGCGGGCGAGGACAGTGAGGGGGGCGTGGTGAGGTTCGAGGCGAGGCATGTCAAGACCAGAGCACCACCAGGCTGCCTGCCAGCGATCGCATGTGCGCTGGAATGATCTGCAGGAGAGGAGAGGAGAGAGCGAGAGAGAGTAAGGTGAGAGGGGCACGGTAAGCCTCGAGCGAGCGCGGTCAGTGGGCGAGAGCATGCGAGAACGATTTGCAGGAGAAAGCGAGCGAGCAAGATCAGTCACAGTCATGACTCATGGTGACAGCCAGTGAGAGGAGAATGGTGGGGGCCACACCACACGGTAAGCTTTGAAACACGTCCAGAGACCAGAACACCACGAGGTTTTCATCCAGAGAACACCCTACTTATTTCCCCTTTCCACCACCTCTTTACGCAAGTTCTGATTTTAAGTTGAACATTTACTCAAACTGGTTCTCTAAGAATAAGCACAAGTTCGCAATAAACCAGGCTCCTTCCTTTCACCCGATCCATGGGGTTTGTTTCGTTGTCCTAAGAACCATACGAGTTGATGGAAGTAAGACCTCCGCAGCCCACCTGTCCGCTACTGACAGCTCCTACACCACAAGGTTTCCATCCAGAGAACACCCCACTTATTTCCCCTTTCCCCGACCTCTTCCATGCTCCCTTCTCTCTCCCCACCCTCACTTACCTCGGACATAATAATCCAAGGGATGCCGCCCATGCCCATGGAGAAGAAGACAATGTACGCCATGCAGCCGGAGAAGGCGAGGAGGGGCGCAGAGGAGGCAGGGAGGAAGGGATGGTGTGTGTGTGGGAGGTAGAAGGAGAGGCCGAGGAGGAGGCAGGAGAGGGACATGCCGGAGGAAGAGAGGAGCAGCAGCACGCGCCGACCTGCCCTGTCCAGGAGGAGAGCTGAGCAGACCGTGAAAAGGACCTGCGGGGGGGAAGTGGAGAGGGGATGCGGATGGGGGGGATAGGAAGGGAGGGAAAAATCGGCGAAATTAGAGGGATGCGAGGGGGGGAGGGGAGAAGGGGATGGTGTGTGTGTGGGAGGAAGGGATGGTGCGCGTGTGGGAGGTAGAAGGAGAGGCCGAGGAGGAGGCAGGAGAGGGACATGCCGGAGGAGGAGAGGAGCAGCAGCACGCGCCGACCTGCCCTGTCCAGGAGGAGAGCTCAGCAGACCGTGAAAAGGACCTGTGGGGAGGGAGGGGAGGGAGGGGAGGGATGGAGGGGGGAGGGAAGGGAGAGGGAGTTGGTGAGTTGTGTGAGATGAGAGGTAGGGCCGAATCCAGGAGTTTTGAGTTGATTCAAAACTCTGCCCTGTCCAGGTGCGGCGCTGAGCAGACCGTAAAACAAACCTGTGGGGAGTGGGATGGGGTGAAGGTGGTCGGGTCGGTGATGTGTGGAGTGAGATCAGGTGTATGGGACGACTAGGATGGGGGGAGGGGGAGGGGGAGGGGGAATGGGGACGGGGGGGATGCCGGGGATGGGAAGGGGGGGGAAGAAAACGTGACTTAGTGTGTGGAGTGGGATGGAGCGTAGGAGACAACGATGGTAGATGCTGTGATAGACATAGCGATAGCTGGTTTCCCATCGTCGTGGCTTCTCTTACCTATGTTTTTGTTTTGGTCTTCAGGCCCATTAAGGCTTCAAATTTCGTGGCTTTAAGCTTCCTTGTCCTCTACCCGAAACCCTGAACCCTACCCACCCCCCCCCCCCCCCCCCCTCCCTCCCCCCTTTCCCCTACCTCCACCCATCCTACCCAACTTCGTTTACAAAGAACGAAGTCTGATATTCATTCTGCGGCTTACCTGCACGGCAGCGATCCCGAAGCTGGGGAGGTTGGGGTTGGTGAAGCCAGCGTTGCGGAAGATGGTCGCTGCAAAGAAGACTATGGCGTTGATTCCCGCACACTGCTGCAGCACCATCAGCCCCACGCACAGCTGGCGGTGATATGAGGGTACGAGGGGGCGTTGATGCCCGCACACTGCTGCAGCACCATCAGCCCCACGCACAGCTGGCGTCATGGGGGTATTGGGGAGGACGAGGGAGGAGTGTCGGGGGGATGTGGGAAGCTATGGCATCTTAAAGACTAATTGAAATAAATAAAAAGCCCTCAGCACCATCAAATCCATGAGTCGCTTTTGAGAGCTCTCAAAAGAGACACAGCTGGCGATTTGAGGATCAGGGGATTGGGGGTTGTGGGGATCGTGGGGCCTCTGGGGTGTGTGGGGGGTCTGGGGGGAAAGGAGAGGACTGGCATGGGAAAGGCGAAACCTTCTTTACTAGAAAAAGGAGAAAAAAAGAAACGCGAGCCATGCGTGCAAGTCAATAGGCGTGGCGGGGGGAAAGGAGAGTACTGGCATGGGAAAGGCGAAACATCTATTACTTCAAAAAAAGGCATGCTAGCCATGCGCGCAAGTCAATAGGCCGCTCATAACAATGTGGGCGGGCGTTCCCCCAAGTCATACCCATCCCCCCCCAACGCACACGCACTCCCCCAAGGCACATGGCAGCATACCATAACAGGTCTTCTGGCATGCCCGAACAGCAGCTCTTTTGACAAGCCCCACACGCCCTTGCTTTTGAGAGTCGACTCGAAATTCAACTCAGAAATTACCCCATGGTACGCCCATTCCCATAGGCACGTGGCAGCATACCATAAAAGGTCTTCTGGCATGCCCGAACAGCAACTCCTTTGACAAGTCCCACACGCCCTTGCTACCAGCTCCGCTTTTACCACCTCGAACCACTCCCAATCCCACTCCACCACTCTCCACTCCTCCCTGCTCTGCTTCACCACTTCCGCTCCCGCCTTCCCTCTCCCAGCTCTCTCCTGTCTCCTCCCCACCCTTCTCCTGCTGTACGCCTTGCAATATCTCCTCACACTCCGCAGCAACTGCAGCAACAGCAGCACCAGCACCAATGCCACTACCACCACCACCATCACCACCGCCACCGCCACCAGCAGCAGCAGCAGCACCATGCGCGCCCCTCAGTCGCAGCAGCACTCGCAGCACCTCCTCTCGCCCCGCTCCCCTCCTGGCCAGCCACCTAGGACTCTCCGGCGCTGCTGCCACGCCCAATAGGAGAGCGACAGCTGGCAGCGCTCCTGGTAACGCATGGGTTTAGGGGGACGCGAGAGAGGATGGAGGGGGAGATGTGGGATGCGGGAGGGCGGGAAGATGCGGGATGCGGGGGGGGGGGGGGGAGGGGGGGATGCTGAACGAAAGCGGGAAGGGAATGCGGGATGAGCAGGGGGGAAGGCGGGATGAGAATGGGGAAAATGCGGGATGAGGGGGGAAGTTTCCCCCCCAGCATTTTGAGACGTCTCAAAAGTCCCCCCCCCCCCCAGCATAACAGCTTCGATGATGGCTGGCCGGCTGGCCCTCCAGGTGATTCCATTCCAAATGAGTGAAGTGCACGTCTGCGGGGTTTGTGAATCTGTGAGCTTGTGAATCTGTGGTCTGATCTGAGGGTCTGTGGGTTTGTGAATCTGAGACTTTGAGCATGGTAAGGGCATGGCAGGGCTGTCTGTGGGTCTAAGGGCATGTCTGCACCTGCTGCGACCAGGCTGGCTGGACGGAAAAGAGCAAGCACAGAGCGAGAGAACGGGATCCGGAGGAGGGAATGGGAGGGAGGAAGCGAGGAAAGAAAAGACAGACTGAGAGCAGCGAGGGGCCGCCAGGGGAGGGCGAGGCCGGCGGAGTAGACTCCGAGCATGCCCACCGTGATTGCCAGCTGGTTCAGATTCAGATTCAGATTCAGATTCAGATTCAGATTCAGATTCAGATTCAGCCAGAATACAGTCTTATCTGACGGTATGAAAGTCTGGGTGTCTGTGTGCCTCTGTTTCTGTGTGTCTCGGGGTTTGACTGAACAGACAAAGAGCCGGCAGCACGGAGCGAGAGAGGGAGAGTGGAAGGGAAATCATCCAGTGCTTCGTTCGGAATCTAATACAAAGGACCGATTGAGTGGAAGGGAAGGGAGTAGCCAAGCCAAAGCCAAGGACTGACCGAAAGCAGCGAAGGGCCGCCAGGGGAGGGCGAGGCCGGCGGAGTAGACTCCGAGCATGCCCACTGTGATTGCCAGCTGGTTCAGACTCCCCAACGCGCCCCTCCACGCGTTGGGGGCCACCTCTGCTATGTACACTGGCACCTGGGGGGGAGAGGGGGAGGGGGAGGCGGTGGAAGAGGGGGAACAGGCAGGAGGGAAACAGGCCAAGGGAAGACAGGACACTCTCGAGCCGACTCAAAGGCCAGCGTGTGCGCCTCCGTGCGTGGGGCCCGCCTCCATGCGTGGGGGCCCGCCTCCGCTATGTACACTGGCACGAGCGGGAAGGGGAAGGAGAGGGGGGGCAGGGGGAAGCGGGAGAGACAGGTTAATTATGAGCTGACTCAGCGTGCGCCTCCATGCGTGGGGGCCCGCCTCCGCTATGTACACTGGCACCTGGGGGGGAAGGTGGTGCGGGTGTGGCAGGGGCAAGACAGGGTACCTTCTAACCGAAACAGCGCGTCCCACCATGCATGATGCCATGCATGATGCCACATACCAGAATGCAGTCAAGAAGAGGGTCTACGAGACGACAAGGGAAGCTTACCACAAAGGGAGGCCTACCACGTAGGAAGCGAGGCCCACACCCAGGCCATTGATGACCCGAGAGGAGAGGAGGAGAGGCAGCGACTGGTGCAGAGGGGGAGAAGAGGGGGGTGGTGGGGAGTGTGGAGGGGGAGGAAGGAAAGGATGGGGGGAAGGGAAGAAGGAGAAGCAAGGAGCACTGTCACTGTTTCAGTTTTCGACAATGAGTGACTGTATGGGCAAATGACTGTATGGGTGAATGAGTGTATGGTGAAGTGACTATATGCATGTGCATGTGTGCAGTAGAAGAACTATGGCAAGGCTATGCCTCTGGGAGTGAGAGTAACCAACCAGTGGGAAAAACTCACGCCAGTGATGTCAGAAACAGGTCTTGCAAAGACAACAAAAAAAAGACAGGACATTACCAGAAAAGGAAGAAGGGAAGTAAGCAGTGTCACGAGTGACCATTGTGTCTCTATTGAAATCACTTTTGAGAATTCTCAAGAGGAAATTACCTGCGCCAAGGCTATTCCCCCCCATCCCGCCGCCAGCAGCAGCGCAGCCAGCGCCAATGCCCCCCTGCGCCCCACTCCTTCCGCCACTGCCCCTGCGCCCACCGCCCCCAGCATTGCGCCCACTGTTATGAGCGAGGAGAAGAGCGATGCGAGCGCGGGGGACAGGCGCAGGTCCGCGGAGAGAGAGGCGAGCGCGGGGGAGGTGTAGCCCACCTGCGGAGGAGGGGAGCGGGGAGTGGGGGAAGGTGGGATGGGAGGTGGGGGGGAGAACGGGGAGGTTGAGGGAAGAAAGAGGGGAAGGGGAGCAAAATGGGAGAGGAGAGGGGGCAAAAGTCTGAGAAAGATACGCCAATGTGGAGGGGGAAAGTCGGAGAAGAGAGAACGGGATGATGGTGCGGGGGGCGGGTCCGCGGAGAACGAGGGGAGGAAGTGGGATGTAACCCCCATTTCGGGGGAAGAAGAACGTGTGAGGTATAGCCCATCTCCCCTGCTCGCTTCCTCTCTCTCCCTCCCTCCGCCATTCATCTCCCTCACCGCATATCCGAACGAGAAGGCGCCAAGACACGCGAAGCAGCACCACAGGAGAGTCGGCAAGAGGCCCTCATACTGCTGCTGCTGCTGCTGCTGCTGCTCTCCCCGCAGTCCTCCTTCCGCGTTGCGCCCTTGGGAATGCCGAAGCAGAGGCTCCTCCAGCGGCCTGACCGGCGACGAAGGCTCGTCAGCGAGTGGCGTCGTCGTTTTCTCCTCGCCTGTCGCTTCGCGCAACTCGCTTTTGCTGACGTGCCTGGCTGCTAGCCCGGCCATCGCCGCAAGCTCAACACATTAACAGAAGAAAATAAAACGAGGCGACGGCAGACTAATTAAAGCCGCACACTTTCCGCAATGAAGGTCCAAACAATCTAACATGAATAACGCATCGAATCTTGTCAGCCTGAGGCACACTGGTCGTGGCAGATGGTCTTGCCTCGACGTCTCCTCTCCTGCTCCTCCTACTGCTCTGCCGCTGGTGTTCTCGAGATTGCCGCGTGCTTCTCTTCTGTGGCTTGATGATCGTCATCAGTTCGGCCGCGCCTTGCGCTGGCTTTTCAGCGGAAAGTATCAGTTTTTAATCTGCTTCCTTTAGAGGAACTACACCACCTCGGTCGGAATCAATTTTAGGAGGTTGAGAATTTGAAATGCATCAGCACAGTAAAAAGAACAAGGAATCATGAATTTGAGGAAAATGGGCTACAACAGCATGCACAAAATCTCTAAATCATTTCAGAACGGGATGAAAATACAAGATTCAAGAACCTGTCACCCACTGGAACCGGACGGGACCTTCACATCAGCTAGTAACCTCGCAGCCATGGCTCCTGATCTCCTCTCTTCCCACTCCTCACTCCCATTCTCTTGACCCGATGATGCCAAACCCCCCTCACTCTCTCCTCGTCTTGCAAGGGTCTCCTGATAAACCTTCCGTGCAAATATCTGGTCGTCTTGGCCGCACGGGCTCGGGAAAAACTCGTCAACTGGCGGTCGAGCAAACACACCGTCCCCCTCGCTCTCCCCTCCTCCGCTCATACCCTCCTCGTCTTCCTCTTCTGTTGTTTCCTCTTGCTCCCCGTCTCTCTCCCCTACAACTTTCTCACGAACTTCTTCCTTTTCCCCATCCTCCGGATGCTCTTTGCAGGGCGGTTTTACTGGTTTCGCTGCGTTGTCTAGAAGGCTGGTGATGTGGACACATGGCAGGCCCTGATTCGTCATCAAAGATTGCACCTCCTCAAGAATCGTTCTTACTTCAGGCTGGACGGCGGGAAAGAGAGAGAGGAAGGACGTGGGGAGCGCAGGAGGGGAGAGAAAGCGGGGGAAAGTTAGGGACGGGAGGGGGAGTGGCGAATGGGATTGGAAAGTGTTCTGATGCTTGTTAAAACACAATGAGAAGAGGGTGGGTGGCCACGTGAGGGAATTAGGTCTGCGATGTATAGGTAAATGTGGACACGGGACGGGAGGCAGGTGCTACAATTTCTAATTGAGCTTCGAGTACAGTGTGGTGCATTATTGGCAAACTTGACAGTTTCAGCAGTTTCCGCGAAAGGCAGTGAGGGAAGTGCGGGCACAGTGGGTTGCAGAAAGGGGGTAGGTCAGGAAGGCACATACAGGCAGTATGGGTGCGGCCTTGCGTTTCATGATGAACACATCAATGGACGGGTGCTGGTACTCTGCATGCAGCTGTAAGACACATGCACACATGCCCACATGCACACATGCACACATGCACACATGCACACATGCACACATGCCCACATGCACACATGCACACATGCACACATGCCCACATGCACACATGCCCACATGCACACATGCACACATGCCCACATGCACACATGCACACATGCACACATGCCCACATGCACACATGCACACATGCCCACATGCACACATGCATACATGCCCACATGCACACATGCACACATGCCCACATGCACACATGCACACATGCACACATGCCCACATGCCCACATGCACACATGCACACATGCCCACATGCCCACATGCACAGCAGCACAGCAGCAGACAGATGATGAAGGACACTGAACATTCTTCGGAACAGGAGCACTTTGTAATGCACACAGAGACGCGGAGATAAGCGGATTGGAGACGGCAGCTTGAAATCAGTGGTGTACCAGAGAATTCATGGGAGGAGGAGGAGGAGGAGGAGGAGGAGGAGGAGGAGGAGGAGGAGGAGGAGGAGGAGGAGGAGGAGGAGGAGGAGGAGGAGGAGGAGGAGGAGGAGGAGGAGGCAGGGGGGTGTCAAGCGAGAAAGGGGAATTGAAGGAACGGACCAGCAGGACAGCCCAGCAAATGCGAAGAATGTTTCAAGGCTGGCCTTGGTAGCAGGGACCTTCTTGACGTCGAACATCTGGCGCGCGTATGACTTTTGAGTCGACTCAAAAGTCACCTCGCATGCGTGCAGGCGGTCATGCACTGTGGCCGAGCATGAGATGAGACTAGCCGCGGGCCACAATTCCAAGCTCACCTTGGTAGCAGGGACGATCTTGACGTCAAACATCTGCTTCGCGCGTGTTTCGAGTCGACTAGAAAAACACTGGCCAGGGGGGAGACTGGAAGAGTGACAAGACAGACTCGAGCCTTTCAAGGCTCACCTTAGTAGCAGGGACCTTCTTGACGTCGAACATCTGCTTCGCGTATGCATGCAGGCGGTCATGCACTGTGGCCGAGCGGAACTCGTACCCCAACTGCACACATGCACGCAGCGCACGCACGCAAGGAGGAAGCAAGAAGGAAAGCAAGCACGGATGCAATGCAAGCATGCAGGCAAGAAAGCAGGCAGGCAGTTTTGTGTAATTCGCACTCAAGCGCACAGAGAGAGAAAAGGAGGGCAAGAGAGGAGGAGGGAAGGGAGAGGAGAGGAGAGTAGATGGGATGGAAGGAGCGGGAGAAGCGGGAGGAGAGGGAATGGTGAAAGGGGGACAGAAGAGTGGAAGAGAGATCTAAGTGGCAGCATCGCATAGCGCCGAATGTTTAGGGCTTCGAGCGGCTGCCAGGGAACACTGGTGGCATGGGGACCTTGGGAGCAACACCAGCAGCTGGGATGTGAGACCGGGGTGTCAAACGGAGGAAAGAGAAATGCTTTGCCACAAAGCGGCGGGGAAAATCTGGAGAGAAGTTGTGTAAACGCTGCTGGACAGGGGACTGGGAAGACATGGGCATATGGAATAAGAAGAAAGAGGGCAGAACTGGGGAATTAGGAGCTTACGAGAATGGGGGTGCAGCTTTTGAGGCGCCTCAAAAGCAGAGGACTGGGAAGATATGGGCGTATGGAATAAGAAGCGAGGGGGCAGAACAGAACTGGGGAATGAGGAGCTTACGAGAATGGGGGTGCGGGGGTGGGAGAGGGAAAGCATGGTTGCTAGGAGAGCCGGGACAGAGTCTTCTACGTACACCTGGCGTGTGGATGAGGAGAGGAGATGAAATGAACACATGCATGAACACATGGATAGACATGCATGGACGAAAGTTGACTTTTGAGTCGACTCAAAAGTCAACTGAGAGCCGGGACAGAGTCTTCTACGTACACCTGGTGTGTGGATGAGGAGAGGAGATGAAATGAACACATGCATGAACACATGGATAGACACGCATGGACGAAATGTGAAAGGTCAAACACATGGGAAAACACAAGGGGGAATGCAATGCAAGGGTGAACTAGGCAGAAGAATGGTAAGGCAGAGGAAGGGGGGGGTATGAAGAGGGGATGAGAGTGCGATTAGCAAAGGGGCAGGGTGAAGAAACGGAGAGAAAACAATGGAAGTGTTACTGCAGCAAGAGAGGAAGGGAGGGGAAAGGAAAGAGGAGAACGGGGGAAGGGTGGAGGGGGGAGGGCAGGGGGGGCGGGCAGGGGGGGCGGGGGGAAAGAGGGAGAGAGGGGGGCAGGAGAGAGGAGAGGGGGGGTACTTAGTCAGTACTACTGACCACGTCAGTGGCAACAATGGCATCAAAAGGTGGGCCGACTTGGGCTATGTGTTGTGCGTTGCCCCACCATAGCTCTGCTACCTCCACTGATCCCACACTGCCTGCCACACACTTACACATGCATTCACTCACTCACTCACGCACGCACGCACGCACGCACACGCTCGCAAATGCCCACGCACGCACACGCACACACACACACACACACGCCATAAGAGACGAACGGTGCACTGTACTGGCAAGTGCTCTTAGGCGCTGTACACTTCTTCCACCACCCACAATCCGGTCTGTAAAAAATATCTAAAACCAACTCCACTCACCATCCACCATTCATCATCCACCATCCACCCATCCACCCATCCACCCATCCACGCATCCAGCCACCACCCACCATCCAAAACCTGGCATCCAGCCACCACCCACCATCAATCCAACCATTGCCTACCCTACCACTACCAGCAGCACCCAACACCAACCACCTTCCCACCACCCGCCCGCGGCCCACCCAGCGCAAAGCACACGGCACGGCACGGCACGCACCGAGGAAGGAGTCAGCAGCAGCGTCCATGGAAGCCTGGGACTGCAGGCGGGTCCACAGCAGAGGCAGCACCAGTGCTGTGATACGATTCTCCATACACCCACCCCCTATCCACCACCACCCAGCACACGGAACGGCACGCACCGAGGAAGGAGTCAGCAGCAGCGTCCATGGAAGCCTGGGACTGCAGGCGGGTCACATTGCGGAACAGCAGAGGCAGCACCAGCGCCTCGTCTGTGAGCACCGTGTCACACCCCAGCAGCGCAAACCCTGCCATGTCGAGGGGGGGGTGTTGTGCTGCCGTTTTATAAAACTGTGTGATTGCGGTGTGATGTAAACAGCAGAGGCAGCACCAGCGCCTCGTCTGTGAGCACCACGTCACACCCCAGCAGCGCAAACCCTGCCGCGCACGAGGGGGGTTGTGGCCGTTTTATACATCCAGTGCGATTGCGGTGTGAACAGCAGAGGCAGCATCAGCGCCTCGTCTGTCAGTCAGCACTGTGTCACACCCCAGCAGCGCAATCCCTGCCGCTACACGAGCCCGAGAACAAGGGGAGGTTCACAATCACAATCAGACGACCGTTAGTCACCAACGTGAGGAATGCCCTGCGAGCGAGGTAACGTGGTCGTGACATGCAGCAAGCACGAAACGCAGGGATGCCACGACATGGTCATCTTTTTAAGAAACCAGTGCGGCTGCTGCTGCGGTGTGAATGAACAGAACTGGCTGGTAGCACCAGTCGCCTCGTCTGTGAGCACCACGTTACACCCCAGCAGCGCAAACCCTGCCAGAACGAGCTAGAGAACGAGAACGAGAACCAAGGCTCCTCGCATGCGAGCTCACTCACCCAAGCCAGCGAGGCCACAGCCAGCCCCCAGCTCTATGGCGCGCTTCCCCTTGAGCTTCGCCCGGGAGAACTCCCCCTTGTTGCTGTGCCGCTCCTGTGGTAGCGCGGAAAGCGAGAGGACGTGATGGGGGGAGGATGGGCGGGAGGGCGAAGGTGAGACAAGACAACTATGCATTGTAGTGCTGTGAAAGAGGGAAATGTGGAGGATTGAACAAGAAAAAAGGAAACCGGCACATAAGGAGGGGATAATTGAACTGGGGGGCGTGGAATGTATGGTTGGGGAGATCGAAGGGAGGTTCAACCGAGTGCAAGAAAACGGACCAGGTATTTCAGGACGACAAGGCTGGAGTCCCACACAGTCGTGGCCACGTGGGTGGAGACGATTTCTCTGAGGTGCAGGTTTAAGGTTCGAGGTTTTAAGTGCCTAAGACATCGAGTGCAGGGAAGTGGAGAGAGCGGACCAGGTACTTGAGAACCACAATGCTGGAGTCCCACACAGTCGTGCCCACGTGCTTGGAATTGGGGTCCTGGTGAAGGATAAAGCGAAGGGACGGGAGAAAGGGACGTGGAGAGAGGGCGTACGAGAGAGAGGGAGAGGGGGGTGGGGAAAGGAGAGGAGGTTGGGGAGGAGCGGGGAAGGGGTTGGCGGAATTCGGGAAAAGTGGATGGTGCTTGCGAGCTGGTGAAAAGTATTGGGGTGGATAAACGCACCTATAGGTTTTCTGGGCCTCTTCAAAGGCATGGACGACCAACCAAAATTACCCTGAAACTTGGCCTGAACAAACCTTGAAACTAGCCTGAAAAAAACTCACGAGTTTACCTGGGTAACCCGGAGTCGATGTCCCATGGCCTCCAGCTCTATGACGTTAGTGGTAGGTGTGTTGAACCTACACATAGGGGACGCGGCGACGGGAAGCGGACAACGTGTTGAGCGCAAGATTCTACGATACCGTAGAAAAAAAATATAAAAATCAATTTCGCATTCGACAAGACAGGACTCGATGAGAATACCGTCTGCCATAAATTCTACCATTTGTCTGCGATTCTATCATTTGTCTACCAACATCTCACCGATCCTCCATGGCGAATTCTGTCAGCTGACGCCTGAGCGCCTCAAGATGGCAAGCGTGACGGCCGGCAAGCTGTAAAGTAAAATCGTTTAGAGCTTGAAGTCTAGGCTTGAACCGTGGCTTCAGCTAGAACACGGGTGCTTCGGAAAACAACTAGCGGCGGGTTTAGGGGGTGAACGCTCTCGTCAGCGGCCTTCACACGCACACACTCACCTCCACCCGCACCGAGTGTTCTCGGATTTCCCAAGATTGAGCGGCCTACAATAATCTACACCACCAGCAGATTTCTACCAGCTGCCAATGCATCATTTTGCTTCATGATACATGTTTATAACTCGTAGTGTGCTCCTTTATCGTAGCCTTAATCTTAATATGGACCAAACAATGGGTGGGTAAGATGGAGATACATCCCCCTTCAAACTTGGATATGAATGATGCGCATATTAATATCACACTAACAAATGCCCGCAGATGAATAGAATCACAAGTCGCAATATTCTGAACATAATAGTTAAATAATCAAATCAAGTCTATATTTCCAAGCAGGAACATGTTCCTACTTTGTGGAAGAAAGTGTGTAATTGTAGTGGTAAATTATTATGTTTGTGTCACGGCACCAGTACACTCGCATCATGGTCCTTGCAGCTTCAAGGGCTATTTTGATGATTTCGTGGCACGATCCAGGCTTGCGAAGGATCTCGCCTCCTTGTCGCAGCACCGTGCGACTTGCTCAATACACGACGAAAACGACTTTCACCCAGCCCTGGGGTGTCGCCAACCGTCTGCGACGAGCTACTTGAGTGCTGTTGGTGGTAGGAAACCATCAAGCGCCAATCAGCAGAGCCAATCTTCCCGTGCGACTGGAATACCGTCGGACAAACCCTGTGCGGACGGCGACGACTGTTGAAGGGCTGAAATTTGCGTCGTCGCGCGAGAGCAATCTTTTGAACTCATCGCAGAGTGCGTAGATAGTAGTGTGACCTAGTACCTAAGTTAGTTTTAGTAGGTCCAGTGACCTCCTGATAATACACTTCAACGCCCGTTAGTTAGAGTGGTCCTGTACAAAGTTGAAGCGCTTCATCCGCGTGCTTGGAAAGTGTTTTCCGTTACAGTAGCACCGCCGATCTGAGCTGTTGTCTAACCGTAGCGAAGTGCAGAAGTCCTGCTGTTTTGTCCACACCCGTTTTCTCCAGATCGCGTGCTTCTTTTTCAGCGTCGTCTCGTTGGCTAACAGTAGGCTCAGAGTGCCGACTGAGCATCAGCATCAGCAGCAGCGGCAGCGGCAGCAGCCATGGCGTGTCGTGGATTTTTGCAGTGCTTGTTGAAGCTCTTCAACCTCGCTCTTGCGCTCGTCGGCGTGTTACTCCTCGTCTTCTCCGTTTCCCGTCTCCTCCGTCTAGATCCTGACATCTTCCCTCCTCCAGCACCCCCTCCGCTCCTTCCCCCTTCTCCCCCTCCGCTCACTCCCCCCTCTTCTCCCCCTCCTCCACTTCACTCCCCGCCTCCTCCTCGTCACTCACCCCCTCCGCCTCGCCACTCTCCGCCACCCCCTCCGAAATCCCCGCCGCCTTCTCCGCCTGCTCCCGCGCCGGGTCCCGCTTCCGCAAACGGTCTGATTTCCGAAGAAACGATCCTGCAGAGCGTGGCGTCAAGGCAGGTCGCGGAAGATTCTGCCAAGGCAGCGACATTCGCGGCCACACGAAAGCTCGCCGCGGCGTCGGGTGCGAAGCGAGGCGTGTCCCTTCTCGAGATTGACGCGCGGGACGGCGCGAGTAGCATTGTCGCACAAGACGGCGCGAGCAGCGCAGGTGCTGCTTCGGTGGTTGCTGCTCCGCCGCAGATCGAGCTACCCCCATTCTGGTAGGCCTCCCTGGCGGTTGTGTTGCCTGATGAATGCCGTTTGCAGGGTGAAGATGAAGGGGATGTGATGAATGCTTGCCTTTTTACCAGTCAGCACACATGTTTTCGCCTTTCATAGTCAGCACATGTGACGGTTTTTTCTCAATCCATTACATCGTACGCTAGTCTCTTCCCCCCCTTTTTCTTGACACGCCGCCGCCGTGAAATTACCCTGTTTCGGTTTTGAATCACAGTCTATTGATCTTCTATTCGTTCCGTCGCTCCATTCAGGTTCATCTACCTCTTGATTGGCGTGGGTGCCTTTCTCACGCTTGTGACTTTAGTGGGTGCCATTGCGGCAGAGACCAACAGCACGTTCTGTCTCGCCTTCGTAAGTCTGCTCCTCGCATTCCTCTTTCTTCTCTCTCTCCTCAGTCTCCTCTCCTCTTTTCTTCATCTTTCATTCCTTGTCATATTTCGCCCCTTCGAATTCCTTCTGTTCACCCTTCTTCCTCTCTCACCTCTCGCTTTTTCATTCCTTTCATTCCCTCTCCATCCACTTATCCCCCCCACCCTTCTTTCCCACACCTCCCGCCTTCCCACTTCCCTTGTTCCTTTTTCCCTTTCACCGCCATTTATTTCTCCCTGACAGGCACCTACTCTCGCCTCTCCTGTTCTTACAGTCTCTTGCCGTTTTCCTCTTTCCGTGCCCTTCTCCTTACTGCGTTGCGATTCCTTTCGGTTTCCCCTGTGCAGTATCAGTTCGGCCTGTGTCTGCTGATACTGTTCGAGTGTGTCGCAACAGCACTCATTTGCCTTGAGGTAGGTTAACATGCCTTCACAAGGCCCTCAAGTGAGTTTGAAAAGCCTTTAACCTCAGGCTGGGTTATTCTGCGCAAAATAATTTGGGGCGAAAATGCGGCTTCAGCACTTGAAATTATTTGGTTAACTTTTCGCAACCATACATCAACGTAGAACCATTGCTAACACTGCATGCTGTTGCGTTTCCCCCCGTCCCATCACCCCCAACCTCTTCCGCCTTGCCTTGTCTTCCCCTTCCCCTCTCTCTCTTCCGCTTCCCCTCCTCGTCGTCTTCTCCTTGCAACCAGGACGTGCCTGTAGACCCTACAGGCGAGTACGACAGGTACCAACGCTACGTTCTGGCGAACCAAGACAGAAGCAGGCTGGCAATGGCTGGCCTTGTGCTCGTTGAGGTATGCGTGATGTGGGAGTAGAAAGTGGGACATGCGTTCCTGCGTTGCGTCTGAAAAGGAATGCGCTTCTGCGAGTTTGTCCGCGCGTTGAATGCGTTTCTTCTGCAATGCCTCCTGCTGCTGCCCTGTCTCTCTTATCCCCATCCCTTCAACCCTGCACTGCACCCACCGTCGTTCTTCTGTTCTCTTGTCCACCTTCCCCTTCCTTTCCTCCATCTCCTCATCATCAGGTAGCAGCGCTGCTGGTTGCGATGATGCTACGTGCAGCACAGGACGATGCGAGCCAGGCAGAGGATGACGACGATTACATCACAGGAGGTGCGGGTCGAGGAATGGGAGGAGGAGCAGGAGGAGGTTTCGGAGGAGCAGGAATAGGAATCGGAGGAGGGGGAGGAGGAGGAGGAGGAGGAGGGCAGGGTAGGCTGCGTCAACCACTTGTGTATCGCGGCGCTTACCCCACAGCTCCGGCTTATCCTACTGCCGTAGGGGCTGGGGTGGGAGGAGCGGTGGGGAGTGGTGGAGCAGGGTTGGGAGGTGTGTATCATGGTGCGGGGGCTTCAGGAGTGGTGGGAGGAGGTGTAGGGGCGGCGGGGCAGACGCATGTGCCGTTGACTGATGCTTGGCGACAGAGACTGCTGGAGAAGGTGGGTGGTTGGATTGGATGTGGTTTGGTTGGCCATCACTTTGTTCACCATTTTGTGCTGGTGTTTTGCTTAAATATGTCTTTGTTTGGGGAGTTGTGTACGCTGCCGCTTCTGTGGATGGAGATGACTCATCTAGCTGGGACTTGAATAATCATCCACTTTCACTCCCTCCCTTCTCATGCCTCCCTATGTTTTTCAATCCTTTGCCCCACATCCCCTCTGCTTTCCCCCCTTCCCCCGCTCCCCTTTTCCATCACGCGTGATTGTGCAATATGGTTTGGACGCGCATGATTTCAACTACGGTCCACCTCCAGGCCATTCCCAAGCTTTGAGACGTCTCAAAACCTTCTGCTTTCCCCCCTTCCCCCGCTCCCCTTTTCCATCACTCGTGACTGTGGCAGTATGGTTTGGACGCACATGATTTCGACTACGGTCCACCTCCAGGCCATTCCCAAGCTGCTGCCCCTCCCCCATCTGCCCCTCGCTCCTCAGGGTGTTCAATAATGTGAGGGAGGAGTGTAGTGGTGTAGTAGCTCCGGCTAAGAGAGAAACAGATACATAGGCCGTACCAGGGTTGGATTTCGGTTGCTTGGATGGTGGTGATGGAAAGCGGAGCTGACATGACAAGAGTCTGGTCAGGCTTTCTAGTGGAATCGGTTTACAGTAACAGCAGATACGGTTATAGCACACATTGGTGCTTGAGAGATACTGGGTACATGTGAAGTAAGGATTCTGTCCAAGGATCCAAGCAAAAGTTAACTTGGCTTAGCACACCATAGGTGTTTCCGACCATTGTTTATACCAGCATAAAGAGATTCTTTGAGCTTTTAACTTACTGTATTGAATTCGCATCATAGGACCAGTTGCATGTCCTAGCTGCTGTTGCATGTCCGTTGCATGTCCGGAGTTCCGAACTGCCGTTGCATGTCCGAACTGCCGTTGCATGTCCGAACTGCCGTTGCATGTCCGAACTGCCGTTGCATGTCCGAACTGCCGTTGCATGTCCGAACTGCCGTTGCATGTCCGAACTGCCGTTGCATGTCCGAACTGCCGTTGCATGTCATGCCATCGCATGTCAAACAATTTCCTCCCTGCACAATGGCAAGCTTCTCCCCAAGAGACTGGTAGCGCGGAGATTCCAAGGTTGGATGAGACATTTGACAGTAGCAGCAATTTCAGGCTGGGTGAGGCTCTCTTTGTGCTTGCAAGGCTGAGGAGCATCATTCTCGCTGCTCTAGGGAGCGCGTGAGTAGGGTGACTAGTTCACGCAGCAAAAAGCACATTTTCGGCGCCTTGGGAAGCTTTCATGGCGTTTGTGGTTCGTGCTCCGGTAAGAGCAGCGATGGCTACACTAGCGGTGACAGCAGCAGCTCCAGTGACAAATGCGAGCCTTCTGTTACGCGGATCGCAGCGTGCGCAATCGAGTAAGTCTTGTTTTCCTTTTCTTCGTTTTTTTTCTCTTCCTTTTTCCCCTCACTTTCGACTTTCTATTCTTTTGCCTGACGCAGAATTCCCGCACGTTGAAATCGTACTGTTTTGTCTTCCATTTTTGCGTCCTTATAATCTGACACGACTGCTTAAGTGCCACTACCACTCACAATGGAGTATTCTACAATCTCATAATCTCCTCCTCCCACTCGCTTACACAACTTCTTCCTCCCCCCCTTTCCCCCTCCCCCCATCCCGTTTCCCTTCTTTCTTCCGTCACTTCACCGTTACCCCTCCTTCTCTCTCCTTCCCGGTACTTTCCACTTCTCCCTCGTCCTTCTCTGCAGGAGCAGTACGTTTGTTTCGTGAAGCGCAGAAACTCCGCCGTTCCTTACCCCGTTCCCCTCCTACACGCCGCTTTGCAGTCTCCGCCTCTTCCTCCTCCCGCTCTTCCTCCTCCTCTTCGTCCGCCTCCTCCCTCGATTCCTCCGATTCCTCCCCCCCGACCTCCTCTTCCGCCTATGCCACCGCTCCCCCGCTCCCGCACGACTTCTCCCCGCGGCCGCTCCCCTTCGACCCGCAGCTGCTGCGCGGGCTGAAGCTCATCTGGGCCGCGGAGCCCGCGCTGGGGCATTCCATGGTGCGCGCTCATGGGAGCCAGGGGGGAAAGAGGGGGGTGCAAGGGTCGGGAAGAATGAAATATGAGTCAGCTCAAAAGACTGTGGGTCGCGGAGCCTGCGCAAGGGCAGTAGGGACTCAGGGGGAGGGTGGTCAGGCGAGGGAGGCGGGAGAAGGGGAAAGAATGGGGAAGAGTTAGGTTGGCAGGGAGGAAAGATAGGAATGGGGGGGGGGGGGGGAGGGGTGGTTGCGGGGAGGAAGGTAAGAAAGGGGGTCTGGGGTTGGGGGCAGGCGTGTATTGAATTGTAGGCTGAAGGGAAAATGAAGGGGGGGTTGGGATGAGAGGTTGTTCAGCGTTTGTATAAGCTCGCTCGCCGTTTCGTGTGGCTTTTTGAGTCGCTCGAAGAGTTGTTTGCGTGATGTCAGTTCACCCCCCACCCCCCTTGTTGTGGATTAGAGGTCGGTGCTGCTGTGAATTTCGTGTATGATCGCTTGACAGTTGACCCTCCCACCCCACTGGGTGAATGGCGTTGCTTCATGTGATGCCATGTTATGGCACATAACGTGGCACATGGCGTGGCACATGGCACATGGCATGGCACATGGCACATGGCATGGCACATGGCATGGCACATGGCACATGGCATGGCACATGGCATGGCACATGGCACATGGCATGGCACATGGCATGGCACATGGCATGGCACATGGTACATGGCATGGCACATGGTACATGGTACATGGCACATGGCATGGCACTCATGCCATCCAGGAGGGACATCCAGAGACCAACGAGCGTGTGGTGGGAGTGATGAAGGAACTGCAGGACTCTGGACTCACAGAGCAGGTGTGTGCATTGTCTGTCTTTAATGCGCCTCAATAAGACGTGCATTCGCTGTCTTTAAGGCGCCTCGTACATGCGCTGTTTGCCACTGCCGTGCTTGGCTTGAAGGCACTCGTCCCATCTGCATCTCATCTCCCTCCCTGCCTTCTGTCCCCTCCTCCCCCCCGCACCCCCTCCCTGTCCCTCATCTCCCCTCCCTTCCCACCTGCTTGTCCCATCCCATCACATCCCTTTTCACCACCACACCACGCTGCACCACACCGTACTGCACCACTCGTTCCCACAGGGTCGTCCTGGCGAGTTGCTGCACCTGTCGTCGTTCCTCCCCGCCACCCCGCTCGACATCTCTGCAGTTCACAGCCCCAAGTACATGCGCGTGTTCGAACAGGTGCGTGTGGGAGAAGAGGGGGGGGAGGGGGAGGGGGGGGGGGGGGGGGGGGGGGAGGGGGAGGGGTGTTATACCTGTTGTTGAATATCTCTGAATGCAGCGAGCGGGTTGGAAGGAAGGAAGGGAGGGATGCAGGGAGGGGAGGGACAGAATGAGTGTGTGCGGGCACGAGAGCTTCGTCAGGGAGTGAGTAGGGTGTATGATATGCATGTACGAGACCTCCACCACAGCAAGGCATGGATACCCCCTGCTGTTCTCTCCCCGCGTCTCTCCCCTTTTTCCCGTCAGTTTAGTTTCGTTTTGTTCTGTTCTGTTCTCTTTTTTTCTTATTTTTTTCTTTTTTATCCTAGGTCTTACAGGCGCACTCACTTCCTTCCCGCCCTCTCACCAGTTTTGGTTCGTCTCAAACCCTTGTTCCTCCTCTTCCCCATTCCGCCCCCCTCACCATCCCTCGCCCCCCCTTCAGTCCATGGAAGCAGCAGCAGACGAAGGACTTGTGTTTTTAGACGGCTCTGGACCAACGTTTGCCACTATCACAGTGAGTGCAGAGGCTCAAGACGTCTCAGAACCCCTTCTTGTTCCCCACAACGTCGCTCGGCCCCCCATCAGTCCATGGAAGCAGCAGCAGCTGAGGGACTTGTGATTCTCGACAGCTCTGCACCTACATTTGCCACTGTCACAGGAGTGCAAGGCTGTAGGAAGGGGGGTGGAGGGTGGGAGTGGGCGGGAGCGAGAAGAGGGAGAGGGAGAGGGGTAGGGAAAGGGTTTTCTTTTTGTTTTGCGAAGGACGTTTTGTCCCTTCAGTGTCCCGACTTGTTCTCTCCTTTGTCCTGAGAATTTCCCTCTCCCAGCCCCCTCCACCTCCCTTATTACTACCACACAAAGCTTTCCCGACTCTGTGTGCTCAAACTTCCCCGTTTTCTGTCCGCTGCTCTGACTTGTCCCGTATGCTCTGCTGTTCTGTGCTGTGCTCGCATGTGTGTATCGATGGCAACATGTGTGTGCTGATGGTTCGTCCTGATGGTTCTCTATCACATGGCGTGGTGTGGCATCGCATGGCATGGCATGGCATATGTGGCATCACATCACATATGTGGCATGGCGTGGCATGGCATGGTGGCATGAGTGCCGTTGTGCAGACCTTCAGTGACACGTTGAGTGCGTGCGGTGCGGGCCTCACACTCATCGATGCTCTCGTAAGTCATCAGGGGCCTTCTGTTATGTGCCACGGGCCATGTGCCATGGGCCATGGGCCATGTGCCACGGGCCATGTGCCATGTGCCATGGGCCATGTGCCATGGGCCATGGGCCATGGGCCATGGGTCATGGGTCATGGGTCATGGGTCATGGGTCATGGGCCATGGGCCATGGGCCATGGGCCATGGGCCATGGGCCATGGGTCATGGGTCATGGGCCATGGGCCATGGGCCATGGGTCATGGGTCATGGGTCATGGGTCATGGGTCATGGGTCATGGGTCATGGTTCATGGGTCATGGGTCATGTGTTCTGACTCGTGGCCGCAACTCATGGCCTCGCTCCACTTCACACTCACAACAAGCGCGATTTCCTGCTCCATCTGTGTCTCGCTCCCCTCTAACCTCTTCCTGCTCCCCCTTCTCCCCATCCTCCCCAGGTCACAGCAGAGGCGATCAATCCCACAGCCCCTCCCCCAGCAGGTTTTGCTCTGGTCCGCCCGCCAGGGCACCATGCGGTGCATGGAGGCGCCATGGGCTTCGGTCTCATGGACCACGTCGCTGCAGCTCTGCCTGTCGCTGCACCTGCTTGTGCTGCGACCACCACCACCTGTGCTCCTCCTCTGCTCCATCTGTGTCTCGGTTCCCTCTAACCTCTTCGTGCTTCCCCTTCTCCCCATCCTCCCCAGGTAGCAGCAGAGGCGATCAATCCCGCAGCCCCTCCCCCAGCAGGCTTTGCCCTGGTCCGCCCCCCAGGGCACCACGCTTTGCATTCAAGCCCCATGGGCTTCGCTCTCGTGGACCACGTGGCTGTGGCAGCACGGTGCGCCTCACGTGCAGAGCAAGGGGCTCCAGCGCGTCTTCATCCTGGACTTTGACAGCTCCGCCTCCCCCTCTTCCGCTGTCCCTCCCCTTCCCCCTCCTCCTCCTCCCCCTCCCCCTCCCCCTCCCCCTCCCCCTCCCCCTCCCCCTCCCCCTCCCCCTCCCCCTCCCCCTCCCCCTCCCCCTCCCCCTCCCCCTCCCCCTCCCCCTCCCCCTCCCCCTCCCCCTCCCCCTCCCCCTCCCCCTCCCCCCCCCCTCCCCCTCCCCTCCCCCTCCCCCCCCCTCCCCCTCCCCCTCCCCCTCCACCTCCCCCTCCCCCTCCCCCTCCCCCTCCACCTCCCCCTCCCCCTCCCTCTCCCCCTCCCCCCCCCCCCTCCCCCTCCCCCTCCCCCCCCCCCCTCCCCCTCCCCCTCCCCCTCCCCCTCCCCCTCCCCCCCCCCCTCCCCCTCCCCCTCCCTCTCCCCCTCCCCCTCCCCCTCCCCCTTCCCCCCCCCCTCCCCCTCCCCCTCCCCCTCCCCCTGGCCGTGTTCCCCCCTGCTTCCCCAGGTAGAAGCAGAGAAGATCAATCCCTCTGTACCCCCACCTGCCGGGTTCGCTTTGGTGCGTCCACCGGGGCACCATGCGGTGCATGCGGGCGCCATGGGCTTCTGTCTCGTGGACCACGTCGCTGTGGCAGCACGGTACGCGCAGAGCAAGGGGCTCCAGCGCGTCTTCATTCTCGACTTTGACGTGCACCATGGGAACGGCACGCATGACTTGTTTTTCAATGATCCGGACGTGTTCTTCATGTCCACACACCAGGTAATGGGAAAAGGTGGGAGGAGGAAGGGGGGGGGGGGTGTGGGGAGGTAGGGGGAGGGGGTTGTTGAGACTGCTTTGGCGCAGTCTCCCACGGTTGCCATGGTTGCCATGGTGCACGTTCATCCTCCACTTTAACGTGCACCATGGCAACGGCACCCACGACCTGTTTTTCATGTCCTCGCACAAGTCAATGTAGGAGGGGGGTTTGGTGTGCGAGGCGTCTCAAAAGTCGTGTTCATCTTGAAATCTTGTGTGCACCATTTAAACAGATTCCAGAACAGCACCCATGACCCATTCTGCAGCCATCTCAATGTCTTCTCGATGCCTATCATGTGCACACACTAGATAGAGAGGAGGTTGTGCTTTTATGGGATTTTCTTAGGGTCTGTCTTTATGCACCTTGACAGAAAAAAAAAAAAAAATCCCTTTCTTGGAATGGCACTCCTGTTTTTTGTTCCCTACAAGACCCCAATGTGTTTTTCCATGTCCAGGCACCAGGTAGAAGGGAATATTGTTGCCTTTCTTGCTTTTTTTATTATTATTGTTGCCATGTTGTGCCCTGAATCTGCTTTTAACTGCTTCTCTTTAATATCTTCTCTTTGATCTGCTTCTCTTTGCACCTTTTTATCGCCTGCACTGCACATCGTTCCGCCTCCCTGCTTCTCTTGAATGGGAGCAGCAGAGCCCTGCATGCAGAAGCAGGTGTTTAGCTGTCTTGATCTAATGCAGAGGTTGGCTTTTATACGTGCATACAGTAACCAATGTGCAGTTTGGTTACCATATGGTAGTTCGCTACCTGTGGTGATGCTGCTTGGATCTTGCAAACCCAGTGACCTAATACTGGCACTTCCTTCCTTGCTTATGCATGGAAAGAATCTTCTTGCCACGCTCTGATGGCAGGGGAGAGGATAATTCAGCAAGTACATTATAGTTTCTTCCCTTTTTCTCTCGTATTCTTCTTCTTCGTACGGTATTGTTATGAATATGTAATCGCCTTTTTTGGAGCATCCCTCCGCCTATCTTTCCCTTCTCCCTGCATTTCTCACTCCCCCTTGCACACCTCGGTCAGGAGGGGACTTATCCAGGCACGGGTCGGTTGGATGAGGTGGGGCAAGGGGCGGGCGAGGGCACGACAATAAACATTCCGCTGCCCGGAGGGGCGGGAGATCTTGCCATGGCCGCAGTTGTGGATCGGCTTGTAGCACCGGCTGTAGCGCGGTTCAAGCCAGATATTATTCTGGTGTCTGCTGGGTGAGTGTGGGAAGAGTTAACTGGAAAGTGGGAATCGGTTGATGAGGGGGAAAGGAGGGGGGGAAAGGGAGGAGGGAGAGGGTGGGGAAGTTGGGAAAAGAGTGGCTTGACATCATTCCTTGAATGTTGGTTGTCATTTTTTTTTCCTGCACTATATTTCATTCCATTACTCTCCCCATTTGTTCCTTTCCTTTTCCCCCTTTTAAACGATTCCAGATATGACGCGCATTATCTAGATCCCTTGGCATCTCTTCAGTTCCGCACCTCCACGTATCACCGTCTGGGCCAACAACTTTCGCAACTTGCCCGACAATACTGTAACGGCCGCCTAGTGTTCTTCCTGGAAGGCGGTTACAATGTAAAGGCGCTTGCAGGATCTGTAGCTGACACTGTTCGGGGGGTTATCGGGGATGATGCCATGGCGTCTGAAGGTTTAGATGTTGACGAGGCGATTTATGAAGAGCCTGAAAGCAGGGTGGATGATGTGATTGAGCATTGTCGTAGCATTCACTCTGTAACGGATTACTAAAGAAGCAGAAGTGCTGGCTGCAGCAATTATGTCTGGCTCCGATCGTATAGGGAATGTGGTACAATGATAGCGTTTCCTGGTATATTCCCTCCATGCCAATTGAGAGTTTGTGTTACGAGTGCAATTGAGTGAGCGAGCGAGAATTGCACTATCGAAGCAAAAGTACAATGAGCGAAAGCATGAGCGAAGAATATATAGCGAAACTACAGTGGTAACGGTTATGCGTGAAAAATGGGGTGCGCGACGGGCCTGGCGCCGAGGTTGGGAATTGTCGAGGCGGAGGTCCGGAACGCGGGTTACCAACCGAACCGTGAGGTTGGGTCGCGTCGTGAACAGTGGCGGGAATAGTATCGAGGCGAGTGTCGCGAGTGGTAACGGATTACTGTTGGGTGCTGTTGGCGGGAACAGTGGTGTACGCGCTGAGCAGGGACGCGAAGTAAGGAAAAGGGATTTTCCTTACAGTTTGACAACCATTCACTGAGTGTAACAACTGTTGAAATAGCTTTCGCCACTTTTTCTCGAGGAAGTTCGTTTGTATCCCATCCCTTTCTCGGTACTTCGCTCTCCTCCCTCTCCCGCTGGTTCATACGCTGTCCTTTTCCGATCGCATTTCCTTTCTTCTCTCAGCCATCTCAAGGTCATCACTCGTGATCGCTTCCGAGCATTGGTCTGCCCCCTCGTCAGCCAGTAACTCGTGGGTTACTCCTGCTCCTTGTCACCTTGTCGACACTCTGACCAAGGTTCTTATCAGCAGAGGGGCTTGGTTTTGTCGCTTGCTGTAGATCTCACTGACGAGTGCGATCGAGGGCTAAGGCGAGGTGTTTTTGGTTGAAAGGTGCTTGTTAGAGCGCTTTCGTCGCAGCGCTTGATTCTGTAGCGCGTTCTGAGCAGCACATCAGCAATCATCGCGTAGTGGCAGTATCTGCAGCGCATCTGAGATATCTGAAGAGATTGACGGCAGGGGGGTATCTACAAGGAGAAAAGGAAAGAGAAGAAGTCGCAGCAGCAGATTACGAGAAAGGGAGGCGGTGGTGGTGGTGCTGCTGCAGGAAGCCATTCCTGGTGAAGTCAGAGGAGGGTTGACGGATAAAGCGAGATGGATTTCGGCGGACCGTCGAGCGGTCCGGCAGGATCGATGCCGAGCAACGACGTGGTGATGGATCAAGTGAAGCAGCAGCTCGCGCAGCAATACGCAGAGGAGTTCTTCGCGGTACGTGAATTCGTAGTTCCCTTTGAGACGCCTCGACAGGATTTCTGAGTCGACTCAAAAGTCCTACTCAAAATCGACACCATTCGTCCAAGACAGTGTGGCAGTACGTGTAGGCGTTCTTTGCGGTACGTACATCGTGTTCCTTATCATGCGCCTCGAAAGGATCTTTCGAATCCAACGGGCTCAAAAGTCGACTCGAAACTCGCCGCAAACGGCGCAGCAATACGCACAGTAGATCCGCGTCGCGCAAACGGAGATCCGATCATCCGTTGACGCACGATCGCTTGCAGCGCGTCGGCGTACTGGGTACGGACGTGAACCCCTGGTTCGGATCCACCCAGCAGGTTCGGATCCAACCAGCAGATTCGGATTTAACCAGCAGGTTTATACCAAGATTAGGTTCTGTCCGTCGAATCGGATCGGATCGGACCGAATTCGAAACGCAGGTCGCGTGCGAATCCAGGGGTTTCAGGTTTCAACGGCTCGCCGTGCCGCCAGACCTTCTCATTCTCCGGTCCCACGTTTGTCTCCTCACAGTTTTACCTCTGGAAACACCTTCCCTCCTGTTCCACTCATTCCCCCAACCATTGCTTACCCTTGTACCCGTCGCATCTCTTCTCTCCCCACTCCTCCCACATCCCCCTTCATTTCAGCTCAAAACCCCCTTTCTCTTCCACCTTTTTTCCCCACCCTCCCTCCTCCCCTACCCCTGCCGTCTTTTATCCCCCTTCCCCTCCCCCTCCCCCTTTCCCCCCTCGCGCCGTTTCTTCCCCGATTCCCCCCGCGCACCATCCGCTAATGATGGGTCAGGTTGTGAGAGACAAGTGCTTTGCTAAGTGCGTTCCCAAGCCAGGGTCGTCCATGAGCAGCAGCGAGAGCACATGTGTGACGCGATGTGTGGAGCGGTACATTGAGGCGACGGGAATTGTGTCCAAAGCGGTGCTGCAGCTTGGGCAACGGTGAGGGGGGTAATGGCCCAGATTATTATGGTATCATTTTTTGGTAGGTTGTAAGGGTACTGCTAGTTGTACTACAGGATGTATCATGCAATTTTTCACTCGTGACTCGTGAGTCATAAGGAATTTTCTTAAACCTTCACTTGTTCTACCTGTATTGCCTTTTGGAAAGTGTTTTCACTTGGTTTCTACTCCTATATCTATCAAGTCGACTTCAACAGCTATCTAGCGGTTGATACTACAACAGGGGAAAAGTAAGACAACCGCATGCTTTGGTTTGGAGTGTGAGGAGACTTGACTGCTTCACCCCCACACACATGTTGTCGCAACCTCGGCAGCAAGCCAGCAGGTTACTACCAGCCACTTCCTTCTCCATGCACAGTGGGAGCCCGAAAAAAAGAAAACAAGCGCATCTTGCATCCTTCAATCCTTGATGCACCATGTCAGATCCGTGGAGTCACTTGTGTATGCAGTGGCGTGGTGCAGTGCTGTGCCTAAGTATGCCGCCGCACAGCAGGCATGCTTGCGCATGTGCTGGTTCCACGACACCACACCACACGGCCTGTGAGTAAACAAACGCGGTTACACACAAAATGGCGGAGTAACGCACGTGGAAACTGTACGCACGCATGTGCGCTTGCCGTGCGTGCAAGGCGACACCAGCATACATCAGTGAGCAGCACACAGGCGCACACACGCACGCACAGTGACACACGACACAGCAGTAAACGGTAGCAGCAAGCAGTGCACATGCCGCGAGTAAGCAAGCACATGTGCATATACAGAGAGTCACACAACGTGCAGTTCAGCGAGGAAGAGCGCGACGAGATCGATGAAGAGCATGTGCGAGCCGTCCATGTGCTGTAGGTCCAGCAGGTACTTGTCCTCGCGCACACGCATCAACTGTGCAGAGAGAGAGTGCGATCGACACGCAGAAGGTAAAGTGCGGGAAGAGAGAGGGAGAGGGGGGAGGGGGGGACTAGGTGTGAAGAGCATGTGAGAGCCGTCCATGTGCTGTAAGTCCAGCAAATTCTTGTTCTCGCGCACACGCATCAACTGTGGAGAGAGAGAGAGTGCGTTCGACACGCAAGAAGGGAAAGTACGGGGAAGGGGTTGGGGGAGTAGTTGAGTATTGAGATGTCTCACACATGCTGCGGGTCCAGCAGGTACTCGTGCTTCCGCACGTGCGCATCAGCTGCTCGTGTGGAGCGCAAGATACCGGGGGGAGTTCGTTTTTGAGTCGACTAAAAAACGGACTCATCACATGTGGAGAGGAAAATATAAGGGGAGGGTGAGATGGATTATGCTGTGTAGTGGGTTATATAGAATGCAAAGAGGGGGGGACTGAGAGCAATGAGAAGGGTAATGAATGAAAAGAGTTGGGTTGTGGGCGGAAGGGGAAGGGAAGAGATTGGAGAAAGGGAACAAGGAAAGAGAATCCGCACCTGCATTTCGAATCGGAGAACTCTCCGCAACTCCCCTGAAAACATCGCTTCAGTCGCTCGCTCCTGCTGCTGCCTCTGCTGCGAAAGAGCCCTTTCACTCTGCCCAGCCCCACCAAAACTGGTATCAGAGCCTCCCTGCCAACCTTCCAGTTCCATCCCCTTGCTGCTTCCCCTCTCCCCTCCACTGAAACCACCACCACCACCGGCAGCAGCACAACCACTGGCACCACCATCAGCAGCACTGCACGAAACTGCTCCTGAACAGCAATGTCCCTCCCTACACATCCCTGCCCCCACACCAATACCCATGCCCATCCTCGCTCCTGTGCCCACTCCCACGCCTGCATCTATCTCAGGAGCAACCTTCGCTCCCTTACACTCCCAACCCACACCTGCTCCTACTCCTGACACCGCTGCTGCACCCGCTGCGGCAGCAGCAGAGGCTGTGTCGGTGAACAGTGCGCCAGTGTCAGTGTGTATTTGCAGGGGGCGGGAGGGTGTGGGGGCCTCCCATCGGCACCTGACGGTGTGATTGGTTGTTTTCTTCCATCTCACGTGCAGCGCGTGCAGTGCCCGCAGCACCTCTGTCATTATGTCCACTGGCTGGGCGCGTGACTGGGAGGAGGAGACAGCAGAGAAAGAGAGAGGGACACGAAGAGGAAAGGAGGGGTGAAGAGAGGTGAGGGTGGGTGTGCAGCGCGTGCAGGGCTCGCAGCACCTCTGTCATTATGTCCACTGGCTGGGCGCGCGACTGGGCACAGAAGCAAGATGGAGAGAAAGAGAAAGATGAGAAGTAGAGGCAGAAGCAGGTGAAGAAAGAGACTTCTGTTCACTCGCACCACCTCTGTATTATGTCCATTAGCTGGGCGCGAAACTGAGGGGAGGTGGAAAAGGCGGGTGGGGAGAGGTGAAGGTGGGGTTTGCTGATGGCTTTGCTGCTGCTTGCAGCTCCCCCGTCATTATGTCCACTGGCTGGTTGCAAGACTGGGACAGACAGAGAGCAAACGGACGGACAGACGGACGGACAGACAGACGAAACGGACGGACTGACGGACAATGGATGGATAGAGTAATGCACGAAAGACTACTTGAAGAGAAGTTGGCATGAGAACGCAAGCACGACGCCATGCATGAGCGCGTATGACGCACCTGTAGTTCCAGCGCCCATTTCCGCTCAGCCACGACTCAACAGTGATGGTGCACGGGAGAGCCCCGCCCCCCATCATGCCGTGTGCCATACTGAGTGGACTCTAACACTTCAAGAAAACGCACCTGCAGTCCCAGCGCCCACTTCCGTTCCGCCACAACTCGACAGTGGTGATGCACGGGAGAGCCCCCCATCATGCCTCCACCCACTCCCCCGCTGCCCATGCCCCCGTGCATGTTCATGGCCATGGTAGCTGCGTTTCCCCCCACGGATCGTCGCTGCTGGATGGCGTTTGGCTGCGCGTGTGCATCCCGCGCCCCTGCTGCTGCGAGCTCCATGAGATGCCCGTGCGACTGGCGGGGTAGGAAGGGGAACGGGAGATGGCAGGGGACGATATAATGCCTGTGAGTGAGGTGCAGTCAAGAGCTGCTGAATGGCGTTTGGCTGCGCGTGTGCGTCCCGCGCGCCTGCTGCTCCGAGCTCCATGAGATGCCCGTGCGACTGGGGGCATAAGGGGGTGCATCAGGATTAGAGAGATTTCGCTAATGCGCTTTTTACTTGAAGAACCATGTCCGTGGGTAGTTGCACAGTTGCACTGAAAGTGATTGAAGGGGATGTTGGCAGGTCTGCTTTGTGGTTGTGTGACTGTGGGTGACGCATGGAATGAGAAAAGATGGGGATTATAAATTTGAAGGGATGGCTAGTGGATGCAGGGAAGAGCGGCAGAGCAGAGTCACTGGCCAGAGTAGAAACAGGAGACTTGTGAGTCAGTCAACCCAAAAGAGATGCAGGGAAGAGCGGCAGAGCAGAGTCACTGGCCAGAGTAGAAACAGGAGACTTCTGAGTCAGACAACCCAAAAGAGATGCAGGGGAGAACAGCAGAGTACACTCACAAGTCCCTAAACAGAACTCCCTAGGAAATCAGGACGGTGGAAAGAAACACAAACAGAAATGTCCACGTGTCTTTTTTCTTCTTCTTCTTCTTCTTCTTCCCCGTTAATGCATAAGCCGAAAAGCAACAGAACTCCAGGCATCAGGGGTTGAAAACATTGAGACATATCAGTATGCAAATTCACAGTCTCCCCCCTCTTCCCCTTCTGTCCTGCTCGCCCTGTCTTCATTCGCCGTGTCTACATCTCTTCTCCCACCCCACCCCCCTCTCCCACCTAGACCAGCCTGCCCAGGCCAACTCACCCGCTGCTTGATCTCTTCTATTTCAGATCCCAGGTAGCCCGATGCGATCCGGCTCCTGTTGTCCAGCATCAGGTAGTATGCCACTGTAGCCTGGTGGCGGAACGAAGAGAGGAGGAGAGGGGGGGAGGGGGGAGGGGGTATTGCAGGGTGTTTGAGATGTTTCAATAAACTCTTGCCCCGATGCGATGCGGCTCCTGTTGTCCAGCATGATCAGGTAGTATGCCACTGTAGCCTGTGGAGGGGAGGTGTTGCGGGTATGGGCAGGATTGGTAGTATATCTCAGAACAAAAGGAAACCCTGTGCGATGCAATGCGGCTCCTGTTGTCCAGCATGATCAGGTAGTATGCCACCGTGGCCTGGTGGGGAGCGAGGAGGAGAGGGGGCGGGAGGGGGTTTTGCGGGTGTTGCGGGCTGTTTGAGATGTTTCAATAAACTCGTGCCCCGATGCGATGCAATGCGGCTGCTGTTGTCCAGCATGATCAGGTAATATGCCATCGTGGCCTGGTGGGGAGTGAGGAGGAGAGGGGGCGGGAAGGGTTTAGCATCAGGTAAGACAAGACGCTACTGCAGCCTCAGGTGCGGAAGGGAGAAGGAATGGGGGAAGGGGGGGGAGAGGGGAGAGGGGGAGCGTGGGAGATTGTTGTGAGAGTGAATGGTTGACGGATGAGGTGACTTTTGAGTCGACTCAAAAGTCAGCCCGGGAGATTGTTGCGAGAGTGAATGGTTGACGGATGAGAGGGAGACGACGCGGGAGGTGAGGGAAGCGGGATCAGAGGTTACTGATTCACAACTAAACTTGAAATTCTTGAGCAAGAAATCGCAAGTTGTGGGTCGACCACTGCAAGCCGTAGCTAATCAAGCCTACCCCTCCCAATCCAGAACCCTGGAACCTTGGTGGACCCTGGCTTGCACTTGTAGCATCACTGACCCTGGCTTGCACTTGTAGCATCATTCACCCTGGCTTGCACTTTGTAGCATAAAATGAGCGCAAATCGAATCTTACGGTACCTTGGTGGCTTGTCTGTTCCTGAGAGCCTCCGTGAGCTGGCGCTGGTCGAACCCCATCTTCACCACCACTGCCAACACGTCCTGGTCTATCTGTTGCCGCAATGGGTACACACACACGTGTCCAGAAAGGTAAACAGGTTTGTGTTCAGGTTCGGGGTATGACAAATGCGGCCCTGATTAGTGAGTAGCTCCAGAGTGTTAGTTTGAAACTCACCCTCAAGATTTGATTTGATATAATAACAAATCTTTACATGGTTCCAGCCCGATTCTTCGACTCTCACGTTTCTGAATGAAAAAGCAAGACAGCACCCACCCAACCCAATGTGGCCGTGTGTGGGTTCATCATGTGTTTGACACAATCGTGATTAAGCTACAGATGAGTGGGGACATGTAAGCGAATCCTTGATCTCTTCTGTAGCAAAGTTCTCCCACATACCCCACCCTACCCACCCGTTTGGCCTGCTCGATGGTATCCGGAGGCAATTGGATTCAGAGATTTCTCGAAAAAAGCTGGTCTTCGTGAACCTATTACCCAGCCCAACCAGCACACACCAACCCATTCACCCACCCACCCCACCCCACCCCATCCCACCCCATCCCAACCCTCTCCACCCCACCCCTACGCACCCGTTTGGCCTGCTCGACGGTATCAGGGGGCGGAACAGCGAGGTAGCGCGGGAGCTTGGCGCAGAACCAGGGGTGCTGGCGGATCTCGGGCATGGTGATGCGCAGCAGCGGATCCACCAGCAGCATGCGCGGTATGAGGTCGCGCGC